ACACCTTTACTTGGTGAAACAACAATCTCCTGCCTAGACATTGTTAAGACACCAAAGGGAGAGTTGATATGGTCCGAACCTTGTAAGAGATGACCGTTCAAGGAGGTTCCTTTAAACCCTGCTCCACTGTCAAAAACACTCTCAGGGGTTTCTTCTTTGGGTGTTATACCCCGTGATGATACACCACACACTGCCATCTTTACAGTACAAAAGCCAACCACCTTGCCCCGTGTGATGCCATAACACAATTTGGCATCTCTTGTCGAGCAGCTTGTTTGCCCTTCAAAGGTCCTTTGACAACCCGCTCCACTACTGTCCTCACAGTATAAGGTCCATCAACGTGGCTGTTGATTATTTCCCGGCGCTCCATTAGTTTTGCTGCGTTAAGCCTAGTTTATGCTTCTGCGCTTTCAGAGCAACGCAAGGAAACGCAGACGCAAGAGCCCCTTGTGTGTCCCTTGCGTGGCTTTTCACACCTCTTTGCGTGCGTAAACCCATTTTTCTAGGCTAGCGACGCAAGCCTGCAGTTGGTCAACTACATCCTTTTACAGAGTCTCACATTTCCGCTTTCATAGCCCAATACCGCCATTATTAAAACAAAGAATGTTTACGAGAGAACGGATCAGATTGAAGAGCTTTTGTCAGAAGAAATGTGTAAATATGAGCGCTCATACAAGCCGTCATTGGCGGACTATATGGACGCGCGGATGGCCTCTGATTCATGGAGGGAGATCACTGCAAACGTCGGTTTGCTGGTCGAGGGGTGAATAAAGTTGTGGAGAAAAATACGGGACAAATGTGTCCGCTATGAAAAGCAGCAGTGTCGATGCACGGGGCAATAAAATCTATGATAAATAAATAAACAAACCAACAACTTCCACACACAAAGACGTGACTCACTAGGTCGTCTTCGACAAAACACGTTACTCCACCTGTTGTTCTGGCGGTGAACTGCTTTGCAACACACGCAAGACTTTTTGAACCATGAATTGAAACGAGTGCGTCGACACAACAGTGCGTAAAGACGCAGACGCAGAAACATGCGCCAGCCTTTAGTCCTGATCAAGATTTCCACATCAGTGTTCTATTCTGGGATACGGATTCCTTTCAGATATTCCTACCTCAATGTCAACCAATGTCTGGTTGGGGTGTTGCCTTTTGAGACTGGGATCGTTTCCTGTGTAGATGTTTGTTGGAGCTCAAAGAATTTATTATCATCCAATCTTGACACCCCTAGTCCTGTCAGTATTTGGCTTTCCCCAACCTTTTCTTGGCCCACAGTGCGTAACATAGTGCTGGTCTTTGTGCCCTGTAGATTCAGCTTCTTCATGAAAGGCATGGTACAGAATGTTGCTGTACTTCCAGGTTCCAGGAAGGCGTAGGTCTTCAGCACCTTGTCTCCTTTCATGGATTTCAACTGCACTGGTACAATGGAAGGGGTACAGTCTTGGTCTCCGGCCCCTGTACAAACACATGCCGGAAAAGATACAAGTGCACTTACTTTGATTTCCTGCGGTTTATTAATTTTGTTCTGGTCCTTGATATGTAAAATAGTTGGGTGTTTAAGATTGTGATTGAAGATCAAGTCAGACGACCACAGACCAGTGACTTTTGCATGTTGATCAATGTGCTGTAGATGAACCGTTTAATAGCTGTGTAACCTTCAAGCTGACGGTAGCAATGCACTTTACTCTGTAAATGTTTGTTCGGACACTCAGTCCACACACTATGGTCTTTGTAAGACAGCTATTTTGTTCAAAGCATTTTCACCTTGTCCATTCCAAATGGAATCACTAAATTACAGTAAATAATTTGTAAATACTCAATGTCTTGTGGCTAATTTCCAGTTTTTTTGTATTGCATTATATTGTTTGTATTGTTGTATTTGTGTTTGTAACGATAGTGTCCATGGTGTTTTGGAACGGGTCCTGCATTGGTGATATAGTTTATGTGGTTTATATGATGATGTTATATTATGCAGGGAGGGTCTTGGGACTCCCTGTGCAGCTGATATGAACTCAGAATTGCGTCTAAGTGAAAGGAGTGAAATTCATCTTGTTGTTGTGAGCCGTGCTAAAGCTTTCCATTCCTGGACTCTGCAGATTTAAACGTACATGAGAATTTCTCTCCATCTGCTGGTCAGCCATGGATAGAACAGCTTGACAAATCTTTACACACGTAAATTAAATAATATTCTGTGATAAAACACAGGAAAGCACAGAAGTAGCTCGAGTGGTGGAATAAAACTAGGTACATTTACTTAAGTACTGTACTTCAGTACTTCATTTTATCCATTTATGATTTATCTATTTCTATGCTCAATTTGTTATTTTATTAATGAAAATCGTACTATGTATGAATAAGATGCATTACATTAGATTAAGATTTACTAGACATTAAAGTATCTGATTACTTCTTTCACAACTGAGTTAAAATGTGTAATCATTCACAGTGACAGCTTTAGTGGAGAAAATTATATCATTTTAACGTTACTGTGAAAAATACATGAATAAATGCAAGAACAAGACTGTGTTTTTTTTCTTCAAATCATTTTATTATGGCAGTTGACAGCATGACAACCTGTAGAACAGAGGTCTTCAACAGGGGGTCTGCGGAGGTACTGCAGGGGGGTCGCGGAATTTTTGGTTGACAAGACAATTCTTTTTCCACAAATTTAAATGTCTTCAGAATCAGAATTGTATTTATTGTCTTCTTTATTGTTACACATTAACATAAATCCAACATATTGTAGCGAACGGATAAATTAATGGAGAAGACATTATCTTTCAGTCCGCAAAACACACATCCAGCTTCCCTCAGCAGCTCTCAAGCTGGGCACCGGTTCACTCACAGCACCTTTTATGCTGATACGACAGCAGAGGCACCAGCCAATCAGATCACGTTCATGCTCACGTAAAAGCGCAAAGCTCAAAAATAAAAGATGGCGGACGAAACTCTGTAGAATAGGGGGTCCCTGCTCCATCTCGCCATCAGTTTGGGGGTCCTTGCCTGAAAAACGTTGAAGACCTCTGCTGTAGAAGGTTACGCATTCAAAGCTAACGGCTAAATAAACCATTGTGAGAACTCAGGTTTGCAGGTCAGCAATGGTTTCCTTTCCCTGTTAACATCTACACTATTATTGGATATGTATATTCTCTCCATTGGCTTCTAATGTCTTGCAATAACAGCTCCACATTGTTACCTTGGGGGACTTTGTATCCATATGGCTCCCACACATCCTGGTGTGACAGTGTACACCAGAGATCACAGTTCATTCTCATTCCACACTGTCTCTGTTCCTGCAAAAGATTTACCTATTATAATGTTTAAAGAGAAGGACACTCCCCCTGACAGTAGAAAGTGTAGAAAGTTTTATCGAATTGGAGAAGCATCTTTACTGTATGCTTGTATAAGAACAAAACTCAATCAATCAATTACTAAATGTCTTAGAATCCGAGTAAAGAGTTAACTTCAGACTGAGCCCACTAATCCAGTTATGTCACATGTGGAAGTGGGATAGATTCCTTTGGAGCTTTCCAGAGTTTACTGGCTATGTGTCACCTCAGGAAAGAGTTCATTCATTCATTGGCACGAAACTTACTTTATTCGTGCAGAGATGGTAGAATATTCTAGGTTTGGTACTGATGTTGAGCTTCTCTTCATCTACTACTTGCGTACAGGCAGAGATGGGCAGTATTTCTACTATACCTGTATGTATTTGAAATATGTATTTCCATTACTTCTGAGTATTTTGTCATTTTTAATTGAAAGGGCTGAAAGAAAAATGGTATGGGATTGGTAACAAAATACTTTAAAGTGGAGTAATTTTGTATTTAGAATACTCACAATACTCGAATGAATGAATAAAAAAAAACAGAAGAACAGTTCACAACGTCAAGTTCAACAGATTGTTTGTCAAGGTAAATATTTGTCTAAGTCTGGCTACATAGCCTATTCTATATACAGGGTGATGGTTATAATATCAATCTAGTGATGCTAACATGCTAATGGCGGTAGCATGCTGGTGTTTGGCAAGTTGAGTAGCTAGCTAGAGCTAGAGGAAGATTATGAGCCTGTGTGTTCATAATAACCTACTCGAGACGTCTGATCATCTAATCCTGCACTGTGTTACACGTTATGCTGTATCTTCTCAATGTGAATGTCATATACCATAATAATTACTGACAGATAATATCGTTCAGCTTAGTCCAAGCAGCCAGACTATGATAAAGAATTATTTTCTACATTTTAAATACAAAGTACCAGTATTGTGTACCAGTAAATACCAGCGGCACTAGTATTTGTAATATTTGGTTTTCACACATCTATTCGAAGGGTTTTTTGTTTCATAATACAGCTTGATGGTTTTTTTGCCCATCCCTGTGTACGGGATGAGACTTAGACCTATATTGCACTGATGTTCCCATAAACAGGTGGGAAGGCTGACGTACTGCTGCAGAAGTACTGTGCTGGTAGAACAACACTGCTTCTTAGAGATCCCTTTTATAAACTGCTCATTTGCTGCTGGCTAACATTTGCTATTAAGGTCATGAGTCATATTAATTGTTCATATCAATCTGTTAATTATGATGATGCTGATAGGGAATAAATCAGTGAAATGTTTCAACAAAATGTGATCTAGCAACAGATTGTTGCTAGATATTTAAACTAAAGTTTGGGCCTTCACAGGTCTTAGTTGCGTTTCGGGAGATTTAGCTGAACGTACCCACGTTTACCACCTTTGACCTAAGTGGGTTTCCTGGCCGTGGAGTCAAAGACATAATACATTCATGATGTATAAGCATAGTCGTTTATTCTCAATAGCACTCACTAATCACTCAACCTGTGAAGAATTCTGGACACTTGAACAATGTAGTTTTGATTATTGATCATGGCCAATGCAGAGATATAATCATCTGATCACTCAATACCATTTTACTTCTTTTAATTACATCTTACACATAACTCTTTACTTTTCAAAGTCACCACAGGAGACAAACTTGTGTGTCATTTTATATTTCAGATGAAAATGCAGACAAGTAAGAAAATGGAAATAGATGCAAAATACAGAGATCACGTTTCTAATCCTTTAATGTTGTTGGAAAAGAGTCACACAGTAGCAATGGTATGGAGAGCGGATTTAATACAAAAACAATTCTAACCATTGATTTAGAACATGAAACCAGGACATGAGTTATAGAGGACCACACATTTACATATCAATTGGTAATGTTAAAAAAAAAAAAACAGATTCATCCAATCCAGTAGAGGTCGCTCACATTTGGCTTTAGCCGGCACAATCACTGGAGGCAGCGCTATGAAGAGCTGCACGTTACATGCTGCTAACCAGAGGTCGGACCCATTTCTGCAACAAATACACAAAGATGACCACATCAATAAAAAATAATCAACTAAGTTTAACAAGTTGTTTAGAAATACTTGGGGAGCCACAAGATGCCAACATCCCATCAGGCCGTGGATATGACATGAATCTCACTATTAGGACTTCTTCTTCTTCTTCTTCTTTTTTTCCTTCTTCTTTTTCGGTGATTTTCCTATGTGCTTTTTTCCTCTGTCGTCACCTCTAATATCACTGCTTTCATCTTCATCTCTTTTGTCGTTGGGTGGTTTTCCCTGGCCAGCCTTGTCCTCCACACTGACTTTGCTCGGCCCATTGTTCATCTGCTCCTTGACCCTGGCGTCTGGAGGAGGAGTCAGTCCCCGGGACACCGTTATGAGCATCCTCTCCGTCCTCATCTCCTCTTTCAAGGAGCCGCTGTTCTGCCCCGCCCCTTGGCTTCTGCTGTCTTTGTGGCGCTCGCTTTTTTGATCTCTTTCGTCTCTCCAGCTGGGGTCCATGTGATATGCCATCCTGTCTGATGGGTGTGGGTGCTCAGTGCTGTTGCTAAAATGGCGAGAGGTTCCCTTGATGTCTTCAGCGGGCTTGTCCTTTGGCAGTTTCTGCAGAAAGTACATAAAAACTATTTTTCTGCATGTGGATATAGAAGCCAAAGAGTCTATGTCAATAATAAGACAGCGGTGGGGACAAAAGCCCATATATAGTGTGACGTTTTCTGCCTTTTATGAAATGTAATGGGGCTGCAGGGAGAGGAAAAGCTAATTGACTTTAAAAAGTCAATAAAAATAGATCAAATTAAAAACAATCTTCCTTTTACACATTTTCAAGCAACATAACGCATCATTACTTACCTGGTATCTAAAAAAACATGCTTTGTTACAAAGTCTGGCAACTTTAAGACACCCCACATCCCATCATCCTGCCTCCTGCTGCTACACTGCATTCACGTAGTACATACACGGTGGTACCCACGTTATCCCCCCTCCAGTGCCGACTCTGACTTAAGACATACAGCTTTAAAAGAAATACACGGGAAGCAAAGATTTCCTTTGTTGGGGACTCTTTTCAGCTGCTTTTCAGAATCTGTCCTAGTAGGACTTTTTTTATGTGGGATTAAGTCCAAATAAACTAGTGTGTGAGTTCATGTTAATGAAGTAACATTCATGTGTTTTTAATTGGACTCTATGAAACAGACAGAAAGAGATCAGGCTTTCATACACAATACTTGCCGGGAGATACATGCACTAAACTTACCCTGCTGGAGTTACTATGGCAGTGGATGGCTGCGTGGTTTTCAGCACTATTCAGATCTCCAATGAACTCTTCACATTTCTGGCAGTAAAACCCAATTACTGGACTCAGAAAACTCAACCCTGCAAAGGAGTTGACAGAAAGGCAGTGAAGCACACGGAGAAGCTCAGAGTGTGGAAGCATTGGACCGTCATTACAGAGCAGCTTTACCATCCTGTTTCAACAGTCCTTCCAGTTCTTTCATCAAAGATTCCATTTGTCTTATTCTGGCTTGTTTTTTGTTTCTTGTTTCCTCATTGTCTCCTGCCTTGGAAACACAAGAAACAATTTCAAAAAGAAAGGCTTTAACCACTCAGATGTTGAGTAGCTTGAAAACCTCTTACCTTGTATCTATCAGAGAATGTCTGAGATGTGACACTGGCATCACGTTTTTCACGCCTTTCTTTGGTAACTTGAGGAAAGAAACAACAACATGATTCTGGATTTTATATCAAAAGCATGAAGCTATAAAGACAGAGAGGATAACTCTTCGATCCAGATTCATTTCCAACCCATTGGGTACACCGTCACCGGTCAGCGCTCACAAAATCTCATTCACGGCAACTTGAAAACGGATCCAAGAGAATGGGAATATTCCGCTGCCATGTCTGTTACTGGGGAGAGTAACGGCAAAGGACTCCAATGACACGCAGATGAAGCCTTCTGTTACCTGGTAGATCATACAGGGAACCAATCTAAAAACTGGTGTCAATATTCTATGGATTAGATTGTGCAAATCAACTTCACTCCATATATATGTTAAGTTAAAGCAATAGTCTAGTGACGCTTTTAAGCTGAGATGTGTTAAATCGTTTGGCACAAACAAAAGTCCATCAAAGTAATAAACACAAAAAGGTGTCGCGGCGGGTTTAGGAAATCCAAAGACCTGTAGTTGACTGACCTTTGATCAATGACTGTAAGGACTCCAGAGCGTGACGCACATTGGGGTGACTCAGTGCTGGCAATGCCAAGGCTGCAGCAGGACGTGCAGGAGACGGTTGCTTCCCTTCCTTAAGCCCCTGCATCTTATCCATGATCTCGCTGACGTCTGCTTTGCCCAGACTTTCTAATATGTTCCTGATCTTCTCATACTCAATGCTGTCCAGATTGGCAGAGGCTACACTAGGGGAAGTCATTTGAGGCTGCTTCAGATCAAGCGGACCCCCAAAAGTGCTGAATCTGGACTGATGATGTTGACTGCCTGAATGAGCCATCGCCCGTGGTTTGGCAAGCTCTCCGATCTGGGGAAATGGTGTAAAGAGTGTGGTGGAGGATTTTTTGGCCTCTTTTCCTCTTGTGTCTTCATTCCCATACAAAAATGACTCTTCATCCTCAAGCACATCTGCTTTCAGGACTGCAGAGTCCTCCTGACTCTGCACCTGGAGCCAAGAAAAGTCACTGCCTACTCGGTCATGGGGAAGGACCATACTGTCATTTTCCAACGATGTTGAGTTCTCATTACTGTTGCACGGCCGATGTCTCTGCTCGTTAGGCACACAATCCACTTTTTTGCTTTTATCTGAGGCCTGTACAGAGGAGATAGCAACAATGACATACATCACTTTCTCATCTTGCTAAGCAATCAATGCAATCATGTGCTGGCATGAGGTACTAGCTAGCCAATAAAAAGTTAAATACATGTGTGTGTGTATGTATGTATATATATATGTGGTCAAGACAACTTGCTGGAGTTCAAACAGAGCATCACAATGGGGAAGAAAGGGCATTAAGTGACTTTATGCCAAAAAGTGTGCATTTTGGAGAATGAAAGATGAGCTCTACCTGAATAGTGAGGATGGCATCTTTGAGGGTTGGCAACCGCTCTTCCAGCTCTTTGCTTTTCATGACCAGCTTCAGTCCTTCCAACAGGCTTTTCCTTGTCAGACTGGTATTGCCGCTAAAACCCTTTCTCTGGGAGTCTTTGCCAGGACTTTTTTCACTGCTGCTACTCTGTGACCTGGACCTTCGGGCCCGGCTCTTGCTCCGCGCTCGACTCATATTCTTGCTTCGGCTCTGGCTCAGACTCCTACTGCGAGGCCTGCTCTTGCTTCTGGCCCTGCTTCTGCTTCTGACCCTGCCTCTGGGCCTGCTTTTGCTTCTGGGCCGGCTCTTGCTTCTGGCCCTGCCTCTGGGTCTGCTTTTGCTTCTGGCCCGGATCCTGCTTCTGGCCCGGCTCCTGCTTCTGCTCCTGGCCCGGCTCCTGCTTCTGCTCCTGGCCCGGCTCTTGGCCCGCTCACGGCTTTTGTTCCTTACTCTGCTTCGTGCTCGGCTGTTGCTTCGTGCAGGACTCTTCACACGAGACTTCCCACGGCTTCGACTACGGCTCCTGGCCGCATGCTTCTGGAACTCAGGGTTTGATTTGAGGATGTCTTTCAGGACATTTGTGGAGTTAAAGGCCTCAGCCAGGTTGTCTGCCATGTTTCCTTTGAGATAGTCTGGAAGAGGCTTATTGGCTGCAATGCACCTCAGGAATTCCTCACCAGCCTCCTCACTGAAATGCAGCATGCATGTGCTTCAAACGACATGAAACATAGAAACATGAAATATTTCATCATCATTAACAAACGTTTACCTGCTGTCAGGAGGTTGATGATCCATAGGAGGGGGATTCCACAGTGGGACTTGATTATGATGATGTTGTACAGGAGGGGAGATCTGCTTGCTGCCTCCCAAAGCAGTCATTGTACTATTTATGGAGAAGGTGCTACAGTGGGGCTGAGAGTATTCACAATGCATGTTACAACCACAAATCAGTTCTCAAATTATAATTTACCACTGTATCACCATTTTTAATGATTATATATATTCCCACATATGTACGGTACTGTAAGAAAAACAAAAACGTTTACAAATAATTTGTAAACAAAACAGACAGACCACTGTAGCCAGTCACAGCTCTGTCGAGACGTGAATTTATTTGGACCTCAGTAGTAACGACGTTACGAACTTCTAATAAGAGGGAAAAAATGGTCTCCTGCCTTCAACCAGTGCTGATCTGTCCTCGCGTGTGGGAACCTTGGCTGCAGCAGTGGGCCCTGATACCTGCTTGATGGTTCCTCTCCCATCAACCTTGATACACTGACTGCTGTAGTCTAAATGTTCTACTTGTCTCTTGGAACTGATTCCGTCTAAGTTGCTTAAGGAAGTTTTTCCTTTAGTTAGCACGTCTACTGGATATTATGAATCTGTCTCTGTTGACAGTCCTTCAACGTAGCTGTAATTAAACCTCTTCTTGCTTCAGAGGTGCCGGCTAACTACAGACCCGTCTCTGATCTTCCCTTCCTCTCTAAGGTCCTTGAGAAAACAGTCACAAACCAGTTTGATAACTTTCTACATAACAATGGTTTGTTTGAAAAGCCTGTGGTCAAGACTGTGAAGAGATGGACCATCGAGGCAAAGCTGGAACTACAGTCCTACTTTGACTGCACTGATGGGAGTGTTTTCAAGCTGCTGCTGCTCACCTGGATGACATCATACATCAGCCGCTCTGAGGACATGTGTAGGCAGGATGAAACATACTGCACATACAAAAAACTCAAATCTGTTGGGCTGAAGAGGCCTACGGGGGGAGTGAGAAATGTTTCCAACACCTGGTGTTGAAAGTTTTCCACAAAGAATTAAGGCAGGTCTGAAGGCAAAATGGGGTCCAACCTTCTACGAGCACGGTGGACCTCATAACGTGGCCGGTGAGTGTGTATTAACGGTAAGTATACTGTAAATATGAATACAAAACACTTCAAGCTTCAAGCTTCAAGCTGCAGCGTCAAACGTTGCAACTTCAAACTTCGAAAAAGAAATTAACTGTGCCTCCCGTTAGAATAATCGGAAATAAATTTGGTGTCAAATTAAAAACACCTAGGAAGTTTCATATTTTTTAGAAAATAAAATGTGTAGATATAGAAAATATATTTTCATAAAAATATAAATAAAATATAAAAGTAAAAGAAAAATTCATGTTTTAAAACGTTTCGGTTTGCACAACATTGCATAAATAGAGGAAACAACGCTATTAATACCGTGCTTTAGCATGACGCCATCCTAAATCACGGACGATGATTTGCGCTTTGCGACAGCTCGGGAAGTTGAACTTCTCTCAGGAGCTACTGGTCCTGTTCTACTCCACCATCACCAGTCTGTTCAGTGTTTCCCCTCCCCTTATAACAGGGGGGAATTCCCATTATGTGCATATGTCGCAGCGCTTGTAGCAGCGCAGCAGAGACCCAAACCGGTCCCCACGTAGTCGTGTGTGTTGTGTACGTTTACAGACACATAAAACGTCCTCTGCCCCAAAAATCTCACATGGACACAGGAGAAACTCCCCCCAGAAGGTATCTTGCTACTCTCAATATTTAAACTATTTCTGTCATAGGCATTGAACCTATTGTAACTTCTTACATGGTTAGGTCTGTACACAAGACATCCACCACTGTCCCTCCCCGTTTCTCTCCCCGTAGGAGGGGTTTCTGGGGGGAGTTTTTTCCTGTGCCGATAGGAGGCTTCCGAGACAGAGGAAGCAAAGATGTCAATGTTTGGACCCGATCACTGATTAACTAGGGCAGCGATTCCCAAAGTGTGGGCTGCGGGCCCTGGTGGGCCGCAAGAGGTCATTTACAATAAATAAATAAAAAGTTTAAATTTTCAATTTTGAAAAGTTTGAAATTAATATAAAAATATTTATGATGCGGCGCATTAGTTATGTGAAACATTAATTGATGAAGCACAAACAATTTAAACGGACAGATTAATAAAACAATAAGGCTCTCGCTCGAAACGGCTGCTCTTGTCCGCCTGTCGTTGTTCAACAAACGCGGCGCCCTCTTGTAGTATTATAAATATACCGCATTTTCCGCACTCCAAGGCGCACTTAAAAGCCTTTAACTTCCTCAAAAAACGACAGTGCCTTATAATCCGGAGCGCCTTATATATATGGATCAATTGGTTAATCGGTTGATCCATACTGGTTGTTCACGGCGCTCAAGGCGCTCTGCCAAACATGCCAAAGCTCGTCTACGACGGCGAGATGCTGAGCGGCGCTCAAGCGCGTGAGATACGGAGCTGCTTTCAGGGCGCGTCGGAGAAACAAAGCTGTTGTTCTCGCCGAGCGAGAGGCGCCCTTTTCTCTACAGTAGCTGAACCATCTTAACGGGGAAAATAAGTTATTCTAAAAGCAGCCGAAGATTTAAGGCGTGGATGGCGAGGGGGGAACGGACGCACCTCGTAGCATCGATCGGACCCTGAAAGCACCGTCTCCACGCATTGGTCTTAATGTGCCGGTAATGATGGTAAATGATGCTTGTAGCTGGTTGTCACTACGGTTACATAAAGGTGTCGTTTGTGTTTTGACAACGTTTTGTCTCATAATTTCGACTTTCTATCCCCTTTCTTCAGTGCGGAAATGGGCTTCTATAGTTGTGTGAATGCATCGCTCCAGCCAATCCAAAGACGCAGTTTGTAACCAATCAAATGTAGAGACCATGGTGACTGGCTCCGCCCCTTACTGTTAGAAAGAACAACAGCGAGCGCGTAGAAAACACCTTCCAGCGCGAGCAGAGATTCACCTCGCGAGCAACGAAGTTCACACTCCGCGAGCGAGCAAATACCTCGGACGGAGACGGGTTATTACATTTCAATCGGTTAACTTCTTACGGTCATTTATCCATTATGTTTTGATCAGAGTTGTGATTAAAGGTTTGGGTGGGCCGCAAAAGATTTTCAGATTTCAAAGTGGGCCGCAGCATTCTTGAGTTTGGGAACCGCTGAACTAGGGTATTAATGAGTAGGACCAGGTTTAATAAATATTAATGAACAAGAGACCAAAACCAAATACTAAATCTGACTTGGAGACATGAATTTTCCATCATGGACGGCCGTAATTCTTTTTGGTTGAATCAAAATGTCATCATAAGGGAAGAGACTGACAAAACGAAAAAATAAAACGTGTAAGAAATATGAAAAGATATTTTATTGAGCATCTCTCTTCAGAAAGTGATGTGGGGTAAGCTACAGGGGTTTTCTATTGACAGAAAGTGTCTTCTCAATACAGGTCAATACAGCGAGGGGGCCGAATGCCATCGAGACAATACAAGAATTTGGGGATTGTCTTTCCTGTTGGCTGAAGTACGCGGTGCTGTGGGTGGTTCACCTGGCTGTGTATGAACCTCAGTGGGGAGCGGAGGCACCGACCATTTCATCATTGCATAATCTTGGATACCGTCACTTCCTTTGTAGAGTTTCCTCTTGATTTTGGTTACTTTTGACGATATTCATTCAGTTTAAGTCATTTGGAAGATGAATTCATCCAAAGTACAAATGAAGTACATTGCAAATCGCAGTAGCGTACTTTCTTCTGTGGATCTGCAACTTCTGTTCCTCCGTTTTCAGCTATACAGGAATGTTGCACTATTGGAACAGGTCCAATTGCTCAGCAAATACTTGATTCCTTTATATTTTTAACTGTAAAATATAAAAACCAGTGAAAATAGAGAAGCAGATTATTCACAAATAAGATAAAAAGAATATATACACGTAATACATTATAATTTCTACAACATAAGTAAAACTAAATAGAATACTAAACTTAATGTTATAATAGCCATATTTAAAATAGTAATAACTCTCATATTGCTCTTTAATCTATTAAAGATCTATCTATTAAATCCTTTAGGTTCCACGGATGTTCAAAAAGTTGACTTACCTTATCAATGTAGAGCAGGTCCACTCAGCTGATCCGGATTGTGTCGACAAATTTGACGAAAGTGACCCGTCGGTAGAATTGGGAGTTTGTAGATCCAGGAGGCGGAGGCGACGCTCTTGTGGTTGCTGCCAACACGCTTCTTTAAATAGCTGCACACTGCTGCACGGAAGTTATCATTCTTACACTTTGGGTTCCCTTGTCACCAAGTCAACGGTTAAAAAATAAAAAGCATGTTCTGTTTGATGCCTGAAATATGGTCTGTAGTTTAAAGAAGCTGGAGGGATTTTAACATTTTCTTTTACAATATATCAAATACATTGGAGCCATGAAGGCATTTAACAACCGGCTAAATGAGACTACTGAACTGCATTAGGAGAAAAACAGTCCTTCAGCTTAGTAGTAGCCCAATTCATTTAGTCTCATTAATCATGGGCTCGCTACAATATGTATCGATGTCCTGATGTTCCAAGCGGCATCTTATTGTGAGGAGGAATCTTGACTAGAGACGCCGGTGTGCTGCGTGGATGTGGTCTGTCCCTCAGAGAGGACACGCTGGTGCTCAACAGGTCTCATATAAATGACCCAGGCCACGAGTCAGAGGAGCTTCTGCCACTTAGTCATTCTGTTGGAAGTATTTCATTACTTTTAACGTAGAGAGAGTTTAGGAAACAAACGTTGATGCCTAGAAGTGGAGTCACGGTAACGGAACTGCTCCCATCGCAGTAGAAGGCTTGAGCTCGGACGAATTACTACTTTGTAAGTATTACATCGGAGTATTGTTGCCGGACGACGCGCGCAGCTCAAGAGGACGCGACGCGGCGTCACGGATCCATCGGCCCGCGTGCCGCTGACGTTGCGGCCCCGTGGCGCGTTTAGCCCGGGGGGGAGAGTTACGTACACTGAGGAAGCGCTCCGCCGGAGGCCTGCCGACGAGAAAATGTCTCTCCGGAGCGGAGGCCGAGAACGCCCCGCGAGGCGCCGGTGGCAGATGTCCCGGTGGAGGAACACCGCGGGGTCTGAAAGGAGGACAGTGGGGGGGTGGAGGTCCAAACGGCGGCGGTCCATGAATAGGTTTCGCGTGTCCTGGGCGGTACATATTCGAGTTGAACGGGACCTGCGATGCCCCTTATCGTAGACTGAACACGCGAACCTGGGCCCAGTCAAACGTGTTGTTATTATGCGGCTTAGTGTCCGACTCGACTGTTGCTACCGGAAGTATAACAGCGACACAACGACCACTTCCGGGGCAGTGAGTTGCAACACTAAACTAGACCCTTTCTCAATATGCGTCATATCAAATACTACATTAATCACTAGTTTTCCTCCCTACCTCATTTCTGCCTTATTCTTACCTCATTTTTATTTCATGTACATTTATGTAAATATTGCATTTTTATTTTAAAATTGGTCGGCTTTCCGGAAAGGCAAGCACAAGGATTTCAATACACAGGGCGTGTGTAACTGACAATACAAATATTTGAATCTAATGATGTCACTTATCTAACTGTAGCATCATTGATCACTATCATAGATATTAAATGCTACATTAATCTAGGGACCAGATTAGCGTTTGTGAAAAAGAGGACACTTCGTCGCGGGGGGGCGGGGCGTGGCGGGGGGCGTGGCGGAGGGGTATTTTTAGTTCGTCCGTAAACTTACCTTTAGTTTCGGCATGTCTGCAGATGTCATGTGCTGTAAACAACGCAGCTAGTGGAGGCGGCAAAGTGCTCAGTGTTGCCAGATTGGATATGGTGAAGTATCGTACCAATGGTCGTATTTGGAGGATAATTATCGTGTATCTGGCAACATTGAGATCGGTCGACCAATGACTGTTCTCTCTACAGCAGCGATTCCCAAAGTGTGGGCCGACTGCAGGTGGGCCGTGAGAGGTCATTCACAATACAATACATGAATAAAAAGTTTTTAATTTTCAATTTTGAAAAGTTTTAAATTAATATAAAAATATGTATGATGCGGCACATTAGTTATGTGAAACATTAATTGATGAAGCACAAACAATTTAAACGAACAGATTGGTTAATCGGTTGATCCATACTGGTTGTACACGGCGCTCAAGGCGCTCTGCCAAACATGCCAAAGCTCGTCTAATACCTCCCGCGAGACAAACTTTTGCTCGCTCGAGACAAACTTTTAGGTTTCAAAAAGAGGACATGTCCGGGGAAAAGAGGACGTCTGATCAGCCTAATTAATCACTAATGATGTCACCTATCTAACTGTAGCATCATTGATCACTATCATAAATATCAAATACTATATTAATCACTAATGATGTCCCTTATCTAACTGTAGCATCATTGATCACTATCATAAATATCAAATACTATATTAATCACTAATGATGTCCCTTATCTAACTGTAGCATCATTGATCACTGTAAAATATATATCAAATATTATATTAATCACTAATGATGTCCCTTATCTAACTGTAGCATCATTGATCACTGTATAATATATATCAAATATTATATTAATCACTAATGATGTCCCTTATCTAACTGTAGCATCATTGATCACTATCATAGATATCAAATACTATATTAATCACTAATGATGTCCCTTATCTAACTGTAGCATCATTGATCACTGTATAATATATATTAAATATTATATTAATCACTAATGATTTCACTTATCTAACTGTAGCATCATTGATCACTGTATAATATATATCAAATAATATATTAATCACTAATGATGTCACTTATCTAACTGTAGCATCATTGATCACTATCATAGATATCAAATACTATATTAATCACTAATAATGTCCCTTATCTAACTGTAGCATCATTGATCACTATCATAAATATCAAATATTATATTAATCACTAATAATGTCCCTTATCTAACTGTAGCATCATTGATCACTATCATAAATATCAAATATTATATTAATCACTAATGATTTCACTTATCTAACTGTAGCATCATTGATCACTGTATAATATATATCAAATAATATATTAATCACTAATGATGTCACTTATCTAACTGTAGCATCATTGATCACTGTATAATATATATCAAATAATATATTAATCACTAATGATGTCACTTATCTAACTCGCTTTACTTATTTTACGTGCCCATGCTTTCAATGGTTATCTCATTTCTAACGTCACATACAGTGCATCCGGAAAGTATTCACAGCGCATCACCTTTTCCACATTTTGTTATGTTACAGCCTTATTCCAAAATGGATTAAATTCATTATTTTCCTCAACATTCTACACACAACAACCCATAATGACAAAGTAAAAACAGTTTTTTGTAAATCTGTTAAAAATAAAGAACGAAAACATAACATGTACATAAGTATTCACAGCCTTTGCTCAATACTTTGTTGAAGCACCTTTGGCAGCAATTACAGCCTCAAGTCTTCTTGGGTATGATTCCACAAGCGTGGCACACCTATTTCTGGGCAGTTTCTGCCATTCTTCTTTGCAGAACCTCTCAAGTTCCATCAGGTTGGATGGGGAGCGTCGGTGCACAGCCATTTTCAGATCTCTCCAGAGATGTTCAATCGGGTTCAAGTCAGGGCTCTGGCTGGGACACTCAATTCACAGAGTTGTCCCGAAGCCACTCCTTTGTTATCTTGGCTGTGTGCTTCGGGTCGTTGTCCTGTTGGAAGATGAACTGTCCCAGTCTGAGGTCCAGAGCGCTTTGGAGCATGTTTTCATCCAGGATGTCTCTTTACATTGCTGCATTCATCTTTCCCTCAATCCTGACTAGTCTCCCAGTTTCTCCCGCTGAAAAACATCCCCACAGCATGATGCTGCCACCACCATGCTTCACTGTAGGGATGGTATTGGCGAGATGATGGGCAGTGCCTGGTTTCCTCCAGACATGACGATTGGCATTTAGGCCAAAGATCTCAATCTTTGTTTCATCAGACCAGAGAATTTTGTTTCTCATGGTCTGAGAGTCCTTCAGGTGGGCTGTCATGTGCTTTTTACTGAGTGGCTTCCGTCTGGCCACTCTACCAAACAGGCCTGATTTGTGGAGTGCTGCAGAGATGGTTGCCCTACTGGAAGGTTCTCCTCTCTTCATAGAACAACGCTGGAGCTCTGTCAAAGTGACCATCGGGTTCCTGGTCACCTCCCTGACTAAGGCCCTTCTCCCCCGATCGCTCAGTCTGGCTGGGCGGCCAACTCTAGGAAGAGTCCTGGTGGTTCCAAACTTCTTCCATTTCCGGATGATGGAGGCCACTGTGCTCATTGGGACTTTCAATGCTGCAGAAATCTTTCTGTACCCTTCGCCAGATCTGTGCCCTGATACAATTCTGTCTCTGAGGTCTACAGATAATTCTAATTGTGTGCAGGATGTTGAGGAAAATAATGAATTTAATCCATTTTGGAATGTGGAAAAAGTGAAGCACTGTGAATACTTTCCGGATGCACTGTAGAAATGACTTGTGGGTTAAATACCTTGAGGGGGAACGGGTTCATAATGCAGCGTAACAAGTACTTTTATCTAAAATGTCAGTTTGAGATGCAGGGGAAAATTACTTTAAATAATACCACCAACATACTTTATTATCATTATTATAATATTTTAAATATCCATGAACAACAATATTCATACATGCAAAAGCCCTCAAACTCAAAATTTCTGATTTTATTGCTCATTCACACACCCATGCAAACCTTCCAACATCCAGATTTGTACACAAATGAGCAGTAAAAGATGACATTTAAATAAGTAACAAAGGAGAATCCAGTAAAACCTACTCAAACAAAATTAATACTGGAAAGATGTTTTCAAGTAATTGTCTAATTCAATGAAATGATTAATGAGTTCAATAGTGCACTTCAGATGTCAGATGTACAGTCAGCTTTCCTGTCTTTCAAAAACATATCTAATATAAGGCTAATTAAGTGTCAAAAGGAGGTCAAAGCAGCAGAGTCCAACAGATGCGTAACCCTCTACGAAAGAACTGGAGACAGAAAAACGATGCACATCATTATGAAAAAACAAAGGACCACAATAAAACTGCCCTCTGTAGTAAAACAAGTCAAACCGCGTGTACTGTGTTTACAGTATCTGTGTGGATCCCCTACGTCCTCAAACAAGGCTCAACTTAACCATGCTGAACATTTTAAATCGGATTATAAGGCATTTCCAATGTGTTCACATATAATGTGTGGTCAATCTTTGAGTGGACTCTGCTGCGATGCCCCCCGCTGTGTCTTCAACTGGTGTAGTGTCTGCCTTGATTAAAGCCAGCTTGGTTGTATTGCTGCCCGCCATGTTGAAAGAACTGTTCAAACTGTCCGCCTTGGTTAAAATTCTGCCCCCCTCTGGCGCCCCACCCCCTGCCTCGGCCTCCTCTTCCCCTGCTGCCACGACTTCCTCGCCCGCCTCCTCTCTCCTGATGCCAGCCTCCATCTTGTTGCTGATTGTCATGGTAACCACCACCACCACCTCCACCTCCTCCTCCTCCATGGTAGCCAGGGTCCTGGAAGCCTCCTTGGCTGTTCCCTCCTCCTGCGTAGGCACCTCTCCCTCCTCCCCCTTGATGACTTCCAGCATCTTGATAGTGGTTGTAACTGCCTCTTCCTCCTCCAACACCGTCCCCCCAGCCTCCTTGCACTTTACCTCCTCTGCCTCCTCTACCTCCCCTGTCCACATGCCCCCCTCCTCCTCCTCCGCCGCCGCCTCGCTCATATCCTCCACGGCCACCTTGGGAGTAGTGATCATAGCCCCCCCTGCTGCCTCCATGCCCACTCCCACTATAGTGTCCCCCCTGGGGAGCATCCCTGACGCTTCTGCCAGGAGGGCATCTCAGGGGGAGGAGGCTCGATCTCACAGGGTCGGCCTCCTCGATCCGGGAACTCGGCCCATAAGAACCTGGAGAGAAAAACAAAACAAAACATTAAAACCCGTTTGGTTCAAAGGGACCCGACTACCCACATGTGAACCCACTTTGGCTCGTATGGGGCTGAAGTTTGCCCACTGAAAATGTATACAAATATGAAACATGAAGAGCAACACATCACATTTTGGCAAAAACACCATACCACCGTGCTGCCTATCCAGAAGTAACAAAGAATCCGGCAATATTCACCAAAACAGCCATTACTCAAAAAACAATGTTCCTCAATGCATGAAAACATCAGGCATTGCGAGAGGAATCCTATGCTTACACCCACCGTTACCAATATGGACACATAATGCCAACCAAGCAGCTCAAGCATTGGTCAGAGTGACCTGCTAGCGCCAAAAGAGATCTTCCTCTATTCACATACTGCATGTCAGAATGGACCACCTTGGACCTTTTGAAGTAAAAAGGGGAAAGAATACGGTTGCTGAAGAATACAGTACAATGCTCTCAGGAGATGTCACAGCAGACAACGAAAATTAATAAATTAGACCCGATATTGGAACTAACTTTGTCAGTGCAAATAAAGAATAAAAAAAATTCTGGAGGAAAAAATCCAGGAATCACTCTTGCATAACGCAAGCAATACATGCTTTGCTTCTCTCCCATCAACTAACTTCTACAATTTTAAACCTTCTACCCGTCTCTTGGGCGACTGTGGCTGAGTGGGAAGCACGGGCGTCCTCCAACCTGAGGGTTGGCGGTTCGATCCCAGGCCTGTCTAACCCGCAGGTCCATGTGTCCTTGGGCAAGAACCAAAAGCCAACATTGCTCCTGCGACTACAGTGTGTGAATGTTAGCTACTGATGGGCAGGTGTGTATGAATGGGAGTCAATGTCATGTAGTGTAAATGTGCTATACAAGTACAGTCCATTTACCATTTGGATCAGATTCCAACTTGGCCGCTTAAGGAAGTTTTACTTTTAGTTAGCAGGTTGTTACTGGATATTAAAATCTTTGTTTGGACCCTATTCCTTCCTCCGGCCACGGCCCTACAGCCATCACCATCATTATGAATATCCATCACTGTACCGTTACTGTTATCGTAAAAAGTAATAGTTTACTTTGCTTCTTTCCTGCGTCTTTGTGCTTTCCGTCCCCACAGGCGTCTATCCGACGGTGCGTCTATCTGATGGTGGTTTTCCCTGCAGTGGTCCTGCCCTACAGCTGGCTTACTACTCACAATTATTTGAATCATTTCTGTTGTATGAATTGATGTGTTGTACTTGTTCTTTTACGCGGTTCATTCTGTACGAATGACACCTGCAGTCCGTCCTCCTCTGACGTCCTCCCTGAGCTTTCTTTCTTTTTTTCACCCCATCGAAGGGTTCTCTTTTTTATTTCCTGTGCCGATGTGATGGTTTCGGGACAGAGGATGTCGCATGTCTACCGGCTGTAAAGCCGTCTGAGGAAATTCGCAATTTTGGACTGTAAAAAATTCATTGAGGATTTTTGGTGGAAAAAGTGAGTCAAGGAATTGGGGGTGGGAATCTCGCCGTTGAAAGACATAAGTTTAAATCTGCTATTTCTATTGAACATTATGAGTATTAACATTTTTATATTTCACACGAGGTATAATATAAACTGTAGTGTTGTTTTTATACCACATCCGTGCTGCAGACTGACCTCACCTCTTGTTTATTTCAAAACTTTAGCATACATTCAATAGACCGGTAAAAATGGTGACCTTTGACCCTGTGGTGAACCTACCTTATTAATGGCACAGGCAGTCTTCTCTCTCATCTTGCCACTGCTTGTGCGTAGAATATTTGAGAAGTCTTGTCGAGCGGCGAGAAGTTGTGCAGCAGATATCTTACTTTTGGTGTCCAGAGCGGAGCGCAGCGGCTGGTACACTTTGGCCAACTTTTCAGCATGCTTCTATAATAGAACATACAGAAGCAGCAACATTGCCAAAAGGGTTCACTCATTGCTCCGTATTGCATGAAATCAGGCCGACACAATGCAACAGCGCCAATTAGTTAATTCAATGATCAAACAAACATTTTAAAGTTATTGGTTATTCATATTTAGCATTTCTGGCCTCACGTTTTTCGGGCTTTCCCGTTTCCTACATCATAGAATACTGTGACGCTTTAGATGTCACACTGCTATCTACGTGCTGTGTCGGTGGATTGATAAGACGTACCTTTGCTCGGTCAGACCAACCAAAGGACTGCACAGTCACATCGAGGCGTTTCAACAACATCTTTCTTCTCACTTCATACTCATTTACAAGAGCTTGGTTTATAGCTTCAATTTTTTCCTGGCATGAAAATGATAAACAAAAAAGGAAAAGACAAAGATTTGCTGTCATTTACTCGTGCGGTTTTACAGAGTTACACTATATTCTTCCTGTATTTACCAAGTGCATAGGTCCAAGGGCCTTCTTCATCAAGGGGTCTCCTACGTGATGAGGCGGGACTTTACTCATGGCTTCTTTCAGCTAGAAACAAAATGGACAAGAGTACATGTGTGTATTACGTGGATGAACGGACCTTGGAAAAGGTGGATCAAAGTAGATCAAACAGCACATTCAATACATGAAACAAACCCATTTCGTTTCACAGCATCTGTGACCCACAGAAAAGTACATTTGGGAGGAACCCGTTGGCAATGTGTGGGATATTATTACATGTTGCTGCCTGAACTTTGTAACACAACTGAGCCTTTTCTTTTTACTTCCGGTGACTGGATCTGCCAAGCTTAGTGACCATAAACTGTGAAAAAGGAGGAACACGGAACAGCTCCTCCCCTCCACGTCAGCAGACGGGCCAAACCTCGAAGGCAGTTCAAACAAACACTCATTCAGGAGCAAAGGTCAGGCGGTGAAACAGTGGTCAACTTCTGTAATGTAGCTTCAAGTGGGTTCTGCTCTCACAAACTCACCTTCTTCTCAATGCCACTGAAGAACTGAAACATGGTGATGTTGGCTGGAGGCTTGGACATGCCCAGGGACATGCAGATCCCCTTCAGCTCCTGGAACATGGGGCTGCCTGCCTGCTGGGCTTTCTTCTCAGGCTTGGTAACCAGGATCATCCTCGACGCCTCCAGCTCCGACACCAGATAGGCTGAGATGGAAATGGGACTGGTTAAGTTCTATTCACAGAAGGTCAAATTTAAAATATGCTCGAGCAGTTGCCTACAAAACAAAAAAAATGTAATTACGAGTTGTTCCTTAAGGCATACACAAAGTCACTCTTTCAATCGGAAATCGGCCTAAAAGCTCTTCATAAATAGCCCGCTTTCCTTCAACGAGTAGAATTCCACACGTTGTGGCTGTAACAGCTCACAGCGCATGTGCACGTCCCTATACTTATTTTTCTCCCTACTTTCCAAGCATGGCGGATTTGCTTATGTTCACCCGTTTAGTCAAAATAGAACACAATGATCACTGCTGACCCTTGACCCCCGTCCCACCACCGGCCTGCCCGCATCGTTCGTGTGTTGCATCTTTCAGGAGCGTACAGTTCATCTCTGAGGACCTGGGTTTCAAACTTCCAAGTGACTTTAAAGTTTATGATTCGGGAACGGAACATGGCGCGGCGTAACCGAGTTAACCGACCGACTCTCCCACATGGCTGAAGCAATAAACCCAGAGGAGACAGGATTACACATAACGGGGTGACAGGAGGGTGCGGCCCAACACGTCGCGAGCGAGGAATCTGGTCTCCCATGAGGGTTTATGAATACGAACGCTGCGATCTTACTGAGGAGCAGCAGACAGTCGGTCCTATTCAGGAGCCTCTTGGTGACGTCTCCGCTGGTGAGGACAGAGTAAGGACAGGCGAGCTCTGACAGCAGGCCGCTCATCTCCAGCTGGAAGCCCTCTGCCTCGCTGGGACCTGGAGAGGACACACACACACACACACACACGCTGATCTGCTGTCCGGCGCGGTTAAAACGGCTCGGACGATGGCAATAGAGGGGGTCTCACAGTTGGTGGCGTGGACATTCTCCTCCAGCTTGCAGTAGAGGCGAAGCTCGGAGACGATCCAGGCACAAAGCTTGGTGAACTCGGGCGAGGCGGCTCCTCTGCTCACAGCGGGATCCAGAGCTCCTTCCTCCAACAGAGGGCCTTGGTACCTGCAGCAACACACACATCAGTGCAGCACGATCAGGCCACTGAGGAAGGCAGGTTCAAAGGCACGTAGGCACGAGACGAACCACGTCGACGCCGATTGACGCGCGCGCCCCCTAGCAGGGGAGAGGACCGTGTTGTCCTCCATTGAATCCGGACAGGAGCAGCTTCTGCTGACGCAGCTTCGTGCACTTGGCAGCCCGGAGTTGGGTCTATTAATACCGGGCGGTACGCAGCGATGTCCCCGGTTCACCGCACGTTCATCAGCATAAGGACCGTTAGCTGCTAAGCGACAGCGTGTTGACGTTAAACAGTCCTGTAGCGTTAGCGTGCTGGCTAAAATAAGACAGCAGGGAGGCTGCTCACCTCCTATATTATATTCATGCAGCGGAAGACGTATTTGATCACTTACCCTAAATCTTCAAGAGAGATGATGATGATGTCATTCTCCATCCCAATGATCTATAGTCGTGCTGTAAAATCAAGATAACGTCCAATGAAATCGAGTTGTCACATCAGCCAGCTCAGCTGATACACGTTTAACTTGTTCTGCTTCCTCGTCGGGTTCCTCAGCGGGGCGCGAACAGCTGCGCGGCCCTGCAGCGCCCCCACAGGACCCGCGGCGCACAGCGCCCCCACAGGATCCCCCACAGGACCCGCGGCGCACAGCGCCCCCACAGGACCCGCGGCGCACAGCGCCCCCAGAGCGCAGAACACGTGTATGTGAACAATGATTAACCTTTGACATAGATTTGGCTCCATGTTAACCGGGACATATACTGTGCAATCTATTGGCTCCACTATCCTATCGGGGGTGAACGGGCCAACTCACCTTCTAGGATGACGCAACAGGGTGGAATGTATTTTCCTGTCTGGGCTCAGTGCCATTATTGAACAACATACAATAAAAGAGGCTCAAGTCAGGAATGGAGAAGAGTATCTCGGTCGGCATGGCCTCGGCCTCTGGAGCTACAAGCCAAAATGATTCTGAACCGCCCTGGACCTTTCAGACCCCTCAGGTCCACGTGAAGGAAAAAGGAATTTCTCAAAAGAAATAGAAGGATTAGCGGATTAGCTGACAGGTTTCAGGTAAACAATTGAACTGAAACGTTAGGGTGCGATTGTGAACACCACTTACTGTTTTTGCAAAGTACACTTACACGGTATTAGTGTACCTTCAATTCTAACTCTGCTATAGTATTACTACAATAACTCAGTTTTTTTTTTTGCGAGCGGTATTTGATAGAAAAATATCATCAACAGATGCACTTCAACTTCAACGTTCCTTAAAGAAAATAGAATGAAGTGGTTTTAACTGAAATGTCAAAATGAAGTCTTAAGTTCGTTTAGGAATTTCAAGTTGGTTGTCAAAGTGTCTATCAAAGGCTTTCATCGCAAAAAGTGCCTGTTGAAATTGATTTCCAGTGCTCTGGGTTGCTGAGAACATCTAAAGATCAGTTATTAGAGTCAAATGTACTAGCTAGTAGTAAAAAGCTAATTACTTGTTATGGGTGTTGAAACCTCATGGGACAGTAGGCAGGTGCAAATAGCTGCATTCACTATTAAAGTGTTTGGTTTGGTCTCTTACACCTTTCTCAACTTACCATCACTTTGTCAGTTTGCTCTAAGCATCACACCATGACACTCTGCCCTCTGGTAGGTTTCCTCAAAATCCCAAACTTTCATTTGCAGAGGAAGTCCCCGACATTCCCCATGAAAGATGCATATTTCATCTTGTGAAATACGAGATGTAAAAGAGTCTTGATATTTTTACTAGTTCAAACAGAATCATTCCGTCGCCGAAATAAACGTTACAACATTCTTTGCATCTATGACGGGACTCAGCTTTTGACATCCTGTGACCAACATGCGAACCAAGCGAAGTGGTTGAGCCAGCTGTGATACACAAACAATGGAATCAAAGCTACACAGAAGAATCACAGTGAGCAATTATTATTAATATCAAAACGTTTGTTTTAAGGCTTTAAACAATGTAGGTGTCTCCCAACAAAAGAACGATGGAAAACGACTGTGCCACATGCATGTAGAAGGTTGGGACCATCAGAAGAACGTCCTCTGACCAACTCCAGTGATCCACAAGCAGGCATGCTGCTACTCCTCCAGTAAGGGTGGGGGGGACAGTTTGAGTGTGAAATGATCCGGTCCGGTTTGGGCTGCCGTCAGAAGCCCCGTCTTGTCACTGCTGTGGCAGTGGGAGAGTTCTGTGAGGATGGACAACTGGTGGAGCAGAGAGGAAAAAACGTCAGTCATACAATGTCTCTATTTGCCTCCCACAGAAGCAAAAACACGCACACACGCACTTTCACGTAATCACTTTAGAAAGTGTGTATTTTAGACACTCCACACGTTTGAACGTGTCGGATTAGCGACTCTTTGCTCTCAGCTCTCCATCATATGACGGCTGTGTCTGAAGTGCCAACGATCTCCCCACATTCAGCCAGGACGTTTTCCAGCCCCCTGTCTCTCAGGGGCACAGTGGTGGTCCTCTGCAGGGTAGATGTGGAGATGGAAGTAGCCTAGCAGCTAGCAACGTGCTCCATGGTCTGAAGTGGTCTGTTTGCACTCGTCCCCCTTCTGTTTGACACCTGGAGGGATTCCTCTGCACAGTTCTACTCTTTGTTTTACTTCCAATGCAAAACGATCTCTCCATCTTCAACCACCGTCTCCGTCTCTCCCATCTAACTGAAAAATACTGTATTGCATTCATCTTGACCACAATAATCTCATAGATCAACGCGTTAACTTTATCAGCCTTTATCCTGCAGGCCATAAGATAATTCCACCACGTATTAGGCTTGCGGGCCTTGAGTTTGACATATGTGCTCTAATTGACTGAGTTGGCATAATGCTATCAGCATGCAGAATACTGCTTCCGATGTGTATCACATCTGCATGTAATGCTGCTCCAGGTGTTCATAGTATCGGTCATTCATTTCGCCCACATCTTAGATTCTAATTAGGTCTGGTCTGTCATTATGAAAGAAAACACATGCACACAAGGCCAATGGGAAAGGTACTGAACTGAATTGCATTGAACCCACACTGATGACACACAGAGACACCTGCCAGCACAACTATTGAATCATTCGCACAACATTCACACACAACTACCGGCGCTACTTTGGGTCCAGCTGAGTGGGGGATCAAACCGCCGATCCTCTACCGCCGAGCTACTGTCCCCCATGCACATGTCAATCATCAGTCTGGCACACTGTCACGGGGCTGTCATTTCCTAGGGTGCCCATATGACTGGATACCAACAACATTTCCCAGACTTCAACACTGTTTACTGAACCGGAGAACCGAGTGACGGTTTGAAAGGATTATGCACCTTGAAGGGATGATTTAAATACACGAGGGTCAGCAGGACCTTGTAGCAGTATCCTGCGCTAGAAAATGCTAAAAGACTTTATTACAAAGGGTAAAGGCGACATGATGTTAGTGCATCCTTGTGCAGATCGGGCCCATGTTAATGAAGCTTAAAGCATGAACTTGAAGACATTATCGCGACTGGAGAAACACACAGTAACTTTATCCTTGTTTCCATGTTTATCTGCAAGATTAGAATATCTTTGGATAATATATTTATTAATTACATTTCATATACATGATATTCATCCCCTCTTTGTGTTTCCTGCGTATGGATACAAACTTTTAAGGTGATTCCGAATATTAAATGCAAGATAACCTTCAGACCACAGAGGAGCCTTTTTGTGAGTCCTGAGTCACGGTGTGGCATAAATCAGCTCGGGTCCAGGTCAGGGTTTAAACCACTACGGCCACGTGTATCATTGCCATGTTTTGAGCTGTCTGCAACAACAAACAGTTGGTGACGTCCGTAATGCGGCTAATCGGCTATTCATGCATCAAGTTCTGAGCCCTTACCCTGGATGGTCCTCGGTATAAACACCGCAGCTGATCCCAGGACTGTTGCTGCTGAAGGTCCAACGTTGTATTAACAAACACCTGGGCGACAACACAAAACCAGCATGATGTCGTCTCAGCGTAAATGGGAAGACCAAACACAATGCATGCTCGCTCATTTCCACACAGTCGTCATTGCTTTGTCCCTTTGCTGTCCAGCCTTCTGAGCCCTGCAGGCTGGAGTCTGCTCTCAGATGCTCTCAGATGCTCTCAGCTGCTCTCAGCCGCTCTCAGCTGATCTCAGCTGCTCTCAGCTAATCTCAGCTAATCTCAGCTGCTCTCAGCTGCTCTGTTGCTGTTCACCAGAAACGGGAATTCTTAGTTACCTTTATTTACACTAGCTATCCATGCCACGAAGCTTGGACTGTTTGCATTTGGATTCTTTCCCTCGCCATGTTATTGTCAGTCACCCGCCTGACAATAACCAGGATGTTGCTATCACACTTTATGTACTCCGGCTCGCCCCGTTTCAAATGAAACTCCACTTCATTATCAGTTGGATCCTAGTTTCAGAAGACTTTTTATGTCATCGGAATAAATGTTGGTATTTTCCCTTATTTCAACTTTCTGAATGTAAATGACCTTTTCAAGTTAACACAGAATGCCAACGAGAAGAAAACATAACAATCTAATAATAGTAATCAGGTTACTGCAGATAAACATACATTTGGAAGCTGGCGAGCGGAACAAAGGCTTACCTTCCTCCTGCGAGCCTCTGCTCCTGCGTCATGGTGCAGTGATGTCACGCGGGTCTGAGGCAGAGAGGACAGTGAACGCCACTGAACGCTTAGATTACAAGCAGCACTGGAGCAACAAACACCCGCCGCTGTATCACGAGAGGACTTTATGGAGTTTCATCCCAAGCCACCTCATAGGCAGCCCTTCAAACTGGTTGACCTTTCTTCAACGGCACAATGACCCCACAACACGCAGCAGAACTAGGAGGAGCGGATCGGGATCAGAGGGGGGCTTGTTTGATGAAATTGCACTTTGTTGTTTCTTGTTCGTCTGGGTTTGTATCCTTATGGTTGAAATGCACTTATTGTGAGTCGCTTTGGATAAAAGCGTCAGCTAAATGACACGTGAAGCCTTGTTCTCTTATTCTGATTCCTCCCTAATTGCGAGGCGTATGGGCGCGATAAGCAGCCCGTAATGACGGCTGTTCTGGTGCTGTGGGATTGAACACCATGTGTGACGGACAGTAGTTGAAACAACAACCTGAGAGAGATGGGATTTGGAGATTCCCAATATCAAAATTCATGGCCCCAAATATACGATCGATGGGCAGCTGATATTCCATCTGTAGTACTGTGGTACCACTACTGGACTACGAGTTAGAGTTGTCCAATTAATAAATGAATAGATTTCAACTCTGTGGTCTTCTCCTCTGAAAACACTCATTTACGTCTCTCTGTCCATATTTCTAAATACATTATAATTAAATAGCCCTAATATTTAAAAAAGCAGATGTTTGGAGATTAGCTTGTTAGGCTTGTTAAGACCTGAATGATGAATTCATGAGTATCAAAGCTGGGAGCAGACTCTGCAAAGGGCATCTTCACCACAACACATTTAATGTGAAATATATCCTTTCATCTAATATGTAGTCCCTCATGTCCATCCACACACACACACACACACACACACACACACACACCTGTGCCAGGGACGTGCTGCGGCCTCTCTGCGGCTCGCTGGAAGGCCCGCCCCTCCCCCCTTGGCTGGAGGAGCATTTGTAGCAGCTCCAGCGCTGTGGCAGCTCTGCAGTCGAACCCCAGGCGGAGTCCTTCTGCTGCAGGCACTGGTAGTGGTACAGGTGGCCACAGCTGAAGAGACAAACACACACGATATCGGTTCCTCATGTGATGTGACATATTTGGTAGAACCCCCCCCCCCTTTCACTGCAACTGTTTGTAAAAAGTAAAAATATTGTAGGGAAGTTACACGTTACTACGTGTGACATCCATCGCGCTGATGGAGCGATCCTCCGCTCTCTCTCGAAGGTTTCTCCCTTTTATATCTCATGAAGTGAAAAAGCAGACAGACAGAAGCCAGACGCGTCGAACACCTCTGCTGTGGTACCTGAACACAATGATCTCCTCAGCAGAGTCCAGCCTCCTCTTGTACTGCTGGAGGCAGATGTTACAGAAGTCTTGTCGCGGGTGAAGTCCCCTTGTGACGGCAGCGCGCAGGTGAGCGAGGGACCAATGGAGGTCATGATTCAGAAGACTAGTGGTTGTTTCAAGTAAAGTCTAAAACAGAAAACACAGCATTACTTCCCCTGTCAACCACAAAGATTGTACATTTAGTGTATTATTTAAACAGCACTTGACCTGTTCATAGTTAAACGTGTCCAGCATGCCCAGGATGAGGCCTTGGATCTCTGCCAGCTTCCCTTTCCCATAGACGGGGTCCTGACAGGCGTCAAACAGCGTCATATGCAACAGCAATACACAGCAGAAAGGTTCCCCTTAAGTAACACACACCAACACATCAGGATACAGCTAGTGGAATTAGCCATTCCTCAGGGAACCCATCTGTCTGCAGTCACCCGTCTGTCTGCAGTCGCTGTCTGTGTACAGTCGCCGTCTGTCTGCAGTCGCCCGTCTGTGTGCAGTCGCCCGCCTGTCTGCAGTCGCCCGTCTGTCTGCAGTCGCTGTCTGTGTGCAGTCGCCTGCCCGTCTGCAGTCGCCCGCCCGTCTGCAGTCGCCCGTCTGTGTGCAGTCGCCCGTCTGTGTGCAGTCGCCCGCCTGTCTGCAGTCGCCCGTCTGTCTGCAGTCGCCCGTCTGTCTGCAGTCGCCCGTCTGTGTGCAGTCGCCCGTCTGTGTGCAGTCGCCCGTCTGTCTGCAGTCGCCCGTCTGTCTGCAGTCACCTGTTTGTCTGCAGTGTTTTATTGTTGTTTAGCTGCGTCAGACTGGCTTGTATATTTTACACACGACTTTAACTTGTTGTGCTTTTGACATCGTCATTAGTCTGTGTTTATAATGCACATAGCTATCCCTAATTGGTTTGCTTGGTATGTGTTGTTTCATGATTCTGCTTATATTCATTTTATCTCCTTTTATTCTATTCTATCGCCTACTTTGTAAAGGGTAACGATGCATAACTTGCGTGACTTTGTAACAACAACCCAGAGACTACAGATGAAAAATAACCATGGCTAATAACAGGAATGTTTTATTAATGTACACTGCCAAAGAAACAAGAAACTTGTTTGCTCCCTTTTAAGTGGCAGTATAAAGAAAAGCCGCATACACACCCTCAGTATCCGTTGGATGATGGCAGGCAGGGAGATAAAGCTGCTCATACAGTTGAGCACCTTCATTGTGAGCTCCTTCAGCACTGAGACACACACACACACACACACACACACCTCATTAACAGCATGGTCAGCATCAATGAACATACTACTTAGGTGGTATCATACATGATACAAGGAACTCATCCATTTCTGTTAAACAATGACATTGTTATACGTTTACTCTTTGTCTATACATTTATACTAGTCAGAGTAGAATATGTGAAATATGTAGCTTTCTTTAATTAAAAATGAATTGATTTCTCACGCTACAGTAAAATAGTGAGGTGGCTTCAGTGAAGGAAAAGTGTGCGTGTTTACCCTCAAACGTGTGATCGTCATTGAGCCCCTTCACTCGCTTTTGAGACGCCATCATGGTCTCCAGAAGTGGAAACCACAAAACCTGGAAGAAAAAGTAATGAATGAGGAGGCGTGTCAACATGACCCATGACCCCCCCCCCTAGCCCCCCCACACACACACACACACACACACACACACACCTCTCTCTGCTGCTGGTAGAAGCTGTCAGAGTTCCGATGACATAAGACAATGATGTCATTCAGCGAGTCCTTTACTCGCGTCAGTGAGGATGCACCGTCTCCCTCCTCTTCATCCCACCTTCCTTCTCCTCCATCAGCTTTCCTCTCACTCTCAGCCGTGAGGCGACTTAGTGTTTCCTTCAGTCTCTGTCAATGATGGTGAAATGTGCATAAAATCGGTAAAGTAAGAATGATTCGGTCATTAAGTAATCCAGTGAATGATGACCGCTACCTCTAACAAGACAGCAAACGCTCCATGAACGTCTCCCTTCTTCTCCAGCAGATATGCGGTAGCCTCGTTGAGGTGGTACTTCTGCGTAATCTAGAGAGAAGCACATGCGCTCACAAAAGCTGGTAGCTCCACGACCACAGTTCGGTGCACTCCTCCTACACCTCCCGCAACTCCCGTACAAAAACACGTGGAATATCCTACCTGCGTGGCCTCCTCCAGCCTGTAGTGCTGGGAGGTGTGGAGGAAGCGCAGGAGCTGCTCGGGGCCAAAGCGGCACGTTAAGTCCAGCAGAAGCTCATGGAGGTCCTGTTCCAGAGCCAGGGTGGTCCCCAAGTGAGGGCCTTGCCTGTATGACGGAGCAGACGAGAAGTGAGAAGGAACATGAGGGAGAAAGAGCGGAAGAATTGGGGAGGAGTGAGGCAGCAGACCGTGTTTCCAGGAGGCATCTGAGGAACTGGAAGAGCAGTTGGTCATCCTAGAGAGAGAGAGAGAGAGAGAGATTTACTTATGTGTGTATATATCATACGCGTTAAAGCCCTTTGAATGGAAATGAATTTAACTGATTTGAGAGAGAGAGGATGAATCCAAACATAAACCCATCTGAACACGCTGTAGCTTGGAAGCACAGATTTGTTTTATTGTTTTTACACTTCAGTTAGTACATCTGTGCTAGCTTGTAGCATAAGCATGTAGCCAGACTGTCAGTACCAATATTACCAGACAAAATAGATCTATAATAACCTTACCTGAAGCTTGCTGATGATTTGTTGCACCTCGTTGGCAAAGTGAAAAACCACCAGGTCAGCAGACTTGCTGGGGTCAAGGGTCACCAGCTCCTGTTAGCACATTTTGAGGGGTTTGTATGGTAGAGTTAGGGCCTCGGGTTGGATGCCAGATCATGTCCTACTTTATCCACACCTTGTGTTTCTAAATGGTCTCGATTCAAAAAATAGGTACTCAAAATATATATATAATTACCTTGTGGGAGGAGCACTCCCTTCACACTCACATGCACTTTCTGTTCTGCTGGACTGTATTCACTTATTTCTAAACTAACACATAGCCTTATATGCTAACCCATAGCCTTATATTGTATTTTATTCCTCTTGCACTATGTCGTCTTATCCGTCTTCTCGTCCATTGTCTTGTCTGTCACGCGCCAACAGCAAAGTCAAATTCCTTGAATGTCTGACATATTTTGGTAATACATGTTTTGTGACTCCTGATTGTAAATCCATTGACTAAATGATGTTAAAGAGGTCAGGATAACTCCCGGAACATGATTGACAACACGCGCCATGTATTCTGGGGGTGCCTTGAGACACCGTCCGGTGTGGAGAAGAACCGTCTTCCTCCCACAGTGAGCAGAAATAAAGACGTCTGCTTTGGAATCGTCTGACGTTTGCTCTGACCTGTATGTGCTGAAGCGCTTTGTCCCGGACCGTCTGCTTCTCCTCGGGGCCGTAGCCGGGCATCGACAGCAAGTTGTGGATGTAGCTGAAGATCTCCTCCTGACACACACACACACGTAATGCTTTATTTGATTCTGCAGAGTACATAACAATAGCCAACAGGACTGAAATAAAGCGCTCGCCCCACACAGCCAGGCTACCTGCTACAGAGACAACTTTCATTTGTCATCATAACTGACACACAGAAATCAATAAACATGCTTATTCCTACAGACAGATAGTACATTCATATGCAGAACCCAAGATTCAAATTGAACAAATATCATCCAAATACACGTATGGTCTACTGGATGTGAACTGTAGTCCTACAGTACCTTTCTGAGGGGGTCTCTCAGGTAGCAGTCAATGATCTTGTCATATGAATGTTTCTTTTCATAAAGAAGTTCACAGATTTGGTAGCTGCAGGGAAAACAAGGATGACCAAATGTAATAAGAATAATGCTCGTGACGTATAATCTACACGTTTTATATATATTAATATGTATATACTGTGTACTAATCATCAATAAATTATATACGTATTCATCACATAACTGTGTGTAAAAGGTGTCTCTCATAGGGATAAACAGACAACATTACGTCAAACAATTGTCACTTCCATTCTTCTCCATGGAGCATTTCAGCCACTTTCAGAATTGTTTTTGTTATATGGAAAAACACGTCCAAAGTACTGCTTGGTTTGAGAAAGCTGACAGCATCAAACAGCAGGCAGACAGTTTGAGGCTCGCTGGGGACGAGAGTGAAATGTGGGACTGGGAATATGGGAACTACGGTTGGACCAATAATGTCACATCACAACCCTTAAAAAGTTGTGCATTTGAAACAATGTTACTCTTAACACTCACACTTCAGAGAGAAAACCATGCAAAGGTAGCAGAGGGTCAGTACTCACAACTTGGCCTTCTCTGCCAGAGTCAACAGCCGGCCCTCATTGAACTGGACCACCCCCCCCACCTGCAGCAGCTCCAGCAAGACCTGCAGACGGGCCAGAAAGAAGCCAGGGACGTGAGGACATCGTCTGAAACCAAAAGGACGACAGTCGGAGAGGTGTGTTGGGGGGGGGGGGGGGGGGGGGGGTCTAACCTGCTGCCGCTCAGTGTGTCTACAGTCATCGTCTGGACCACACAGGAACTCCAGAACCTGGGACGACAGGAAGAGCAAAGATGGGAATGGAACCACAGTTGAGGTGCAATAAGCATAAAGGTTTCTTCTCAAGATCTGAGTTATATTATTTACCAAAATGTAAAAAATACCCGTTTGAACATGGAAAACTACCCTCCAAAGGACATACACCACTTTGAAGAATTGTTATTCATGTGCGACACGTTGTGGTAAATGTGACACTATTTGTAAGATGAATGAATCAGTCGGTGGGAGAAGCAGGCGTGACCGTGCTACCAGAAAGGGTCAAACAGTGAGGGGACCCTTTGCTTGCTGCATGCTTCACTGCGTTGCTTTATAAATGAATGCCATATGTTGAGTTTCCCGTTGCTTGTGCACCCATCGGGGTTCACACACGTTTTGACCAATGGACCAGTGGACCGTACGAACCCGGACCCCTGCAGTAGCTTTGCCTGCACTTTATCCCGCGCGTACGAGACGCCAGATCTCAGCGAAATGATCCCGGTCACATAATCTAGAACGAAACCCTGGAGGTGTCCGGGGGATCGGATCGGTTACCTGATCAAAGAGCTTCCTGTTCACAAAAAGCGTGTTGTCTGGCTTGGCCAACTGGCGAGCCAGAAACGTGAAGAGCCCGCCCACCTGGGATGGAGTAAAGTCTGGGTTGTCCACCATCACCTAGTTAACCAGAAGGACACATCTTTTATATAAATAGCAGTGATTTTTGTCTCCAATAACAGGGACGAGATCAGAGACTTTGTTGACATGAAGCCCCTCAGCCAACCAAGCCGTCAATGTCCAGAGTACTGAGCTTCTCTCTGTGATCCGTGATGTCTTCACCTCCAACAGAACATTGAATTGTTTCTGTGATTTTACCTGAAGTAAGATGTCCACTATCCTCTGCTGGTACTCCAAGGCCTGTTTGTCATTCTTAAAGTCTTCAAAAGTCTGAAAGGGGACAACAAACGCACCTTTCAAACTGACCGAAGCTAACGTCACCTTTCACGTCGTAGGCTCAAGATATGTAAAATGAATGAGTCATACAAGACCAGTGCGGCGGCTGAAACAATATGAAGGCGTCTCACCATGGCGAGGACATTGAGGAACTCGCGAGAATCAAAGTGGAGGAGTGTGCGAATAAACGGGAAAACCTCCTCCTCCTCCAGCGAGTCGGCCGAATGGAGACGGATGAGGAACTCAAACACCTGAAGCGCAGAAACACACTCGCAGCATCAGCGCAGTGGTAGTGTGATGGCTGGTGACCACAAACACAGCCCCCCCCCAGCATCGGCCCCAACACACATGTGGATAAATGAAAAGAGCGTCAAGAACAGCGAAGCTGTCTCAAGGTACCGGACGCACCAAATCCGCCAGGAGCACAACAACAACAACAACAAAGATCATCTGTTACACAAGCGCTGGTTACGATAAGTCAATGTCAGTGTGAAAATTCAAGTAAGATGGTTCTTCTGTGTTCACACGCTGGTCGTTGTGACTTCAGATACCTGGTTCTTGACTTGAACCACGAGATCTTCAGGGATGTCTCCCAGTGGATACGCCCTTCCTGCCAGACAGCAGCTACACACACACACACACACACACACACACACAAAATCACTTTTAACACAGGTGCACTTGAGTTAGTTTTTATGGAGTTTATATATTACAATGCGTTCCATTTTTTATTTTGGTGGGGGTACTTTGTCCCTGTGTTCTCAAAGGGAGCCCTGCTCTAATGTATTACATGTCATTTATGTGTATGTATGCCACAGGTATCAATCCATCGAGGGGTCGACTGTGTGATAATGTACCTTATGTACACCAGAATTTTGTTTCCCATCACCACTTCCTCGTCTGTGCCAGAAGAAAATGAGCAGAGTGAAGGATTTAGTGTACTTTTTAAAACTTCAAATGCTAAAAGAGTTGCTTAAGAATGTTTGGTGCTATGAACTGTGGGCTGTGTGGCGTGACCTTTTAGGCTCCTCCCCGCTCTAAGTTTTGGGCCAATCACTGCAAAGAGTTTCTGAAATAAAAACATGGAGTAACAATTATTATAGATATTGTTTCGGACCTGTTGTGGAGTTCCTGTTAAATTATATTACATGATATTTAATATGAGCAATAAAAGAAGCAGACGGGGACCTGCTGATTGTTTGACATCACCGTGTTTCTTTGCTGAATTGAAGTATGACGTATCAGCACCATTTAAAGCTCATTTTAAATCCATACAAGAATTGCTTTAGAAGTGAGGAAACCCGAGCGAAGCACCGTAAAGTCTCAGATGATGACACGACCATCCGGTGGAGCGCTCACCTCCATCGGTGTAATGTAGTCATTCATGCCGCTGTTGAAGACGTAGATCATTGCATCGTAGAGCTGGTTCTCCCAACACACTTGAACCACCTTCAAACGGTAAGAAGACGTTTACTGGAAACGATACCAGTGGAAATAAGGAGAGGGATTCGTCCTGGCTGCTGGTCGCCATTCTTTACACTCCTTACAGTCTACAAACACACCTGCTGAATGTCCAGACTGGTCACATCCAGATGGACTATGCATCTCTCCAGGCTGTCCATCATACCGTTGCTATGGTAATGGGCCAGGAGGTCCCTCATGATGGGCGTGGTGAGGTGACCAAGACGGTCCGCAACAATGTACGACTCCAGTGACTCCAGAAAGACGCCCTTAGCAACCGTGTTCTCCCCCAGCTGAGCATACAGCTGGTTGAACATCAGGTCGCTGCACGCACACGCACACACGCACACACACACACAAACAACAAATAGAGCTCCAATCAGCATTCTTCCTGCCGTCCATGACGCCTTATGGTGCGTCCTCTTTACGTCTCGATGAAAGCATGCAGACTTACGCCCTCTTTAGCAGCAGGCAGTAATCCACCAGGACGGGAACCACCTCCTGAACACACACAGAAACCCGAATCAACACGCTACTGCTGACCAGCAAGCATCAACAGGCCTCGACCTGAGAGGCAACAAAGTCAGTGCTGCCAGATTCTTTCATCGCCGAGCTCCGTTTTCTAGTTTAATGACTTTAAAAACAGCCGAATATTTAAATAGTTTCAATTGCAAATTGAGTTGCCACCAAACTCTAGCAAGCTGCATTAAAGGGGTCGTTGTGGCGCAGGGGTAGAGGGAGCGCTGGCAACCACAAGGTTGGTGGTTCGAGTCCCGGTTCGAGTCATGTCGAAGTGTCCCTGAGCAAGACACCTGACCCCTAATAGCTCCGCGGGCAAAATGTAAAAAGCCACGGGTTAAAAATGTAAGTCGCTTTGGATAAAAGCGTCAGCTAAATGACCTGTGATGTTATAATTAAAAGTAATAAAGAAAGATGTATATGTATTGAAAGGCTATTAAATTATCTGCCGTTATTACCTAATGGAATGTGAAAAAAACTAATTCAGCCACTGATTGCTACAAAAAAATACACCCCACATAATTTCAGTGTGAAAAAAACCAGATGAAATGTTAATTAGGGAAATAAATAAACATGATATTTTCAATGGCAAAGCTGTATTCTTTAAATTCACCCACAGTGTTTAGATGTAATCACATCTATAGGCCGACAAGGCTTACATGGAAGTGCTGCTCCATCACTTGGATCTTGCCTTGTTCTGGACACTTCTTCAACGCGTGGTCTGCAAACTGGAAAAGGATCTCTACCATCTGCACACACAGGAAGTGGTTCATGTTGGAGCTCAATGCTCCCCGCAGGCGCAACACAGAAGACCGGGTTCCCGTTCTCACCTTGTCACCTACGACTCCCTTCTTTTTCATTTGATCGCCCAACAGGCCTAAACAAACATGTCACGCGTTACTTTCATCATGCAACAATCACATATTATCATATCATTTGCATGCTGCATGAACATGAATGAAAACATGACTGAATATTACCGTTATCATAAAGCATCACATTAACTTAAAAGACCAAAAGCTTTATTCTGCACCAGGTTCTTAACTTGTTCATGTATAGATTGTACTTTTTAATGCAGCCTTTTACAGACGCTCTTACTTAGTTATGTGTTCTAATGAAGGTACATAGTGTGTATTTGTATTGTTTGTGAGCAACTAACCCTAACACAATTTTCTAGTATTGTGTTTGAATTTAAATCATGATAATGAAGCAAACTCTTAGTGAAGACAGTTGACCTTCATGAATACAGTAGTTGAACTACTACTAAACGTGGAATCTATCACATCCTCATGGAGGGATCCGCCGTCTAAACAGGTTTTTTAGTGCGAGGGGGGTGTTGACCCCCTGATGAAGAGGGATATAGACGAGGACCCGGGCCACACGGAGGCCGCTGGATGTCTGACATGCGTTCCACCCACCGACCACAGCTTTGGCCGCTCCCTCGTGGAAGGACCAGGCCAGAGAGAGAGCCTCCACGAAATGCTCCTGCTTCAGCAGGCAGTCGATGCGCTGGACGCACGGAGACACGGAGACACAGAGACACGTCTTTCAATCACAGGCTCTGCGGCTTCATCCCCGGCGCCCATGTCCACGCGTCCTTGGGAAGGACACTTAACCCGAATAGCCCCGCTGGCTGTGACTACGCTGCGTGAATGTTAGCTACTGATTGACAGGTGTCAGATCAGAGTGTGAATGATGACATGTAGCGTTAAAGACCGTTAAGTGGTCAGAAGACTAGAGGAGCGAAATACAAGTACAGCATATTTATTCATCATTTCTCCTTTGTCACTACAGTGATGAGTTATAAGTCTGTCAACTCCAAATGTCATTTGCAAAGTGCAATTGAAGGTAAAGTTGTGTTTCTCTGTTCCGTGTTAAGCTCAGTGGACGCGAGACGCTCATTGATGTTTGTGTAAACGTCAACGAGGTGGTTGTGTGTCTGTATCCTCCGTGTGATGCGCCACACATTCTGTCGTGTGCAAATGAATCACTGTTGGCAGAGCTGGTTTCAACACCAATTCCCATTTAAGAGACAAAGTGGCCTCGCTGTCCTTGGCAGACGGTTTCCAAGGTAACTATCTGGAGGATGTGATGAACTCAACCTTTTGCCATCAACCAAACAAGTGTTCAAATCGCACACAAGCAACTATGAAACTGGTTGGACAAATACTTGTGATTGTTTAAATGACATCAGCATTTGGTAGCAATAAAACGTGAAAGAAAATGACGTTTAAATACGTAGATGTGCGACGTTACAGCCACAGGCTCAAACGTACCTCTCTCCAATTCCTCAGGGTCATAATGTGAGCCGACTGCAAGACAAGAGAAGATCGCGTATGAACGCCGCTGAATTCCATTGACGCCACACTCACTCACACATACTCAGCCCCCCGTTTCATTCTGCCACGAGGCTCTCAAAGTAAAAGCACCATCTAACTCGTGTCCCTACTGGAGGGATGATCGGTCTGTCACTGGTGGTATTGTTCGGAATTACTTTTATTTTAATGACTTCTTTAGCAGCCTTGTTATTGGGAGGGGGGGGGGGGTTGTGTCTGGTGCATGTTTTGTTGATAATATGCCGGGAATAATAAAAATAGCATCTTGTCAGTCTCTCACACACACACACACACACACACACACACACACACACACACAGTACCTTGGTGCCCAGATAGACTATTTGTCCCCCGTAGCTCGACACGGACTGGTAGCAGGCCTTTTCCCCCACTAAGGCCTGGAAGACAGACACACACGGTGATGCAGACCAGCAGAAGCACAGTATCGTATAGAGAGAGAAATGAATGGATCCTGCCAATATTACTGCTTCTTTGGAAGATTTTGGGTTACTGCCGTCCAACTCGAGAGCGGATATGGGGGCTAATCTGCTCAGATCCCTTTACAAATGAACAACCTTGCAGATCAGGATTTCAGATGGTTCTACGTATCGGTCTTCATGTTCCGTTCCCTCTGAAGGGTATAAAAGCGGCAAAGTAGCCAGAGCTTTTATTCAGATACTCTGATAAAACCGCATCCGGCCCCCGTCGGCCAACGGGACACCAGCCTGGTGTCAGCTGGCAGGTCGTCTTTGCATCAGCAGAGCATCGCAGGCCCGGTTGCGTTAGCAGATGTCGGGTGTTGAAGAGGAGTATCAGCAGTCGCCAACGTGTCAACAACGACTTCATTTGATATATTTCAGTGCATCCGGAATGTGTTCACAACGCACTTGTTATGTTACAGCCGTGACCCAAATTGGATTAAATTCATTAGTTTCCTCAATATTCCACACCCCATAATGAGAAAATGAAAAAGATTATTTAATTTATTAAAAATAAAGCGAAAAAGTATTCACACCCCCTGCCTTTGGCAGCAGTCACAGCCTCATGTCTTCTGGAGTCTGATGCTACCACCTCAGCACACCTGTTTCTGGGCGGGTTCTCTCATTCTTCTCAGCAGAACCTCTCCGGTTCCATCAGGCCGGAGGGGGATACATTGCTGCGTTCATCGTTCCCTCCATCCTGACTAGTGTCACAGTTCCTCCTGCTGAAGAACACCCCACCACCACGCTCCACTGTAGGGATGCTATGGGCCAGATGAGCAGGGGCTGCTTTCCTGCAGACACCACGCTTGGCATTCAGGCCAAAGACCTCAGTCTGAGTTCCATCAGACCAGAGGTCTTTGTTTGTTTTCACCGTGACCATCGGCTTCTTGGTCACCTCCCTGAGTAAGGCCCTTCTCCCCCGATCGCTCAGTGCGGCTGGGCGGCCATCGCTAGGAAGACTTCTTCCATTTCTGGATGACGGAGGCCACTGTGCTCATTGGGACCTTCAATGCTGCAGAAATGTTTCTGTACAGTCTTCAGATCTGTGCCTCGATATGATCCTGTCTCAGAGGTCTGCTGGTTTGTGCTCTGACATGTGCTGTCAATGTGCTATAGACAGGTGTGTGCCTGGCATGTCAGCAACTGAATAAAGCAGGTGGACTCCAATCAAGTTGTAGAAACATCTCAAGGATGATCAGTGGAAACAGGACGGACCCGAGCTCAATTTTGAGTGTCATGGCAAAGGCTGTGAATACTTGTGTACATGTTATAGTTTTGTGCTTTATTTCTGTCCCAAAAACGTTTTCACTTTGTCATCATGGGGTGTTGTGTGCAGAGGAGGAAAACAAATATTTGAATCCATGTTGGAATAAAACAGCAACATAACAAAATGTGGAAAAAGTGAAGCGCTGTGAATACTTTCTAATCAAAAGTAAAAAATATTCTTGTCGCTGGAGTTGTGAGCCTCATTGGTGCGATTACATTTCATATTGTCGCTCTTTAAAAGGCAAGTAAAAAGTAAGTAGAGCCTATTTTTATTAGCAGCATCATTATAAAGTGAAGACTGTAAAATGCCTCTGACCCAATGAGTTTGGACTCTGATCCTGTCCTCTCTCACCAGAGCTTGGGAGACGTTCCCTCCAGTTGCCAGCGATTTGAAATGTCGGCTGTTATAGACCAGCTGCACCTGCTCCAAGTCCAGTGTCTCCAACACCTCCTGACTGGGCCGGTCCACCACCTGCAGCTTCTCACGGCTGTCCACCAGGAGCAGCGTACGACTGTTGATCCACTGCAGGGACAGAGGACAAAGTTCACTCCGTGTCGCCTGGTTAGCATCGAGGTGAAGACAAACGGACAGCTCTACTCCATCAAACTAAATCTCAAGAACAACATGGCGCACGTGAGAATATTTGGATCTGCGGAGGAGGACCAAAGACGTCGTTACCTCTACAGAAAAGGTTTGGGTTCTTACACTGAGGCTGATGATGTCACAGCTTAGGTGGAGTTGTTTCTGCTTGATGACATGGATGGTCCCCGTCTCCTCCTGCTTCACCTGAACCAACAACCACAGCACAGACGGAAGCGTTCCAATACTAAAAGACTGTAGAAGCAGTAGCATGTAGACATCATGTAAGCATCTTCTACACAAATCCTACAACTAGACCTCTCTCAATTGGGCCTTTGAGGCAGTTACGTTTGGCCCACTTCTCTCCCTGTCGAGCTTACGGGTCTTTGTCCGTCAAAACATTCAGAACCACTACTATAATGCACCGGTCGTCTCCCTCCAGTGGACATTTAGATATATAAACCGGTGTGTTGCTTGTGGATCCGGGTAGCTGAGGCAGAAGTAAATACCAGGAGGAAGTGGACCGAATCTCCTTTACAAAAAGCCAGGATTGGGTTGACGGTCTTCTGGACGGGAACAAACTGCCAGGCGAGCTGAGGAACACTGGCCGGATCCGACTGGTGAGAGACAACGCGTCATTAGTTCATATTTAGTCTCGTGAACTGATGTTCCAAATGCTCATACAGTAGATGTAAAAAGGAAAGTGTGCTTTCCATAGTGTGACATGCTCGACGTGTTCAGTGACACGGCCCATTAAACCCGCAGAAGAAGAGATTTGTGTGTGTCGATTCTTCAGAAAGAGTTGCTGATAATATTAATAATGATGATAATTTACAGGGGCTTGAATGTGTGAACGCCACGTAATGGTGCTTTGTTCCTGTGAAAAAAATATCAGAACCCGACATCATCAACAGCACGGCAACTATCATTTGTGACAATAATTATTCCATTCAGGAACGCGAATGGTGCGCATAAAAAAAACAAGAAATAAATGAACCTTGATTTGTCAATAGTATCCAGTCAGCACATCCATGCCAATCTTATGCTAAAAAACGGCTACAACTGTTGCAGAGTCCCACGGCATGCAAAGAATTGAGCCAGCATCAACATGCAGAGGAGTACACAGACCTTGCTGTAGGGCAGAGTCATCCAGACCTTCAGAGACGGCTTCAGTCCAATGACCAGAATCTGGTAAAGAAAACAAAAGACAGAAACATCAGAGCGAAACAGAGCGGCGGCGGCGAGTCACAGGACACTAAAGGCCCTGCTAACAAGCCTCGCTCAGCTAACAACCTGCTGAGCCGGCAGCTAGAAACAGGGCCACTGGCGGGTGCGCGTACCTTGGTGAGAGAGGCCATGGCCAGCAGCGAGTACAGGGTGATGGGGTGGTCTCTGAAGTCTGGAGGAGCCCGCAGCGGCTCAATGCAGCACACTTCTCCTTTCGAACCACTGAAGAGACATCGGGAGTCACAGGACCGCATCCCCATCACCCTCCTGGAGACACGGGGGACAGGCTTACTACTCACAATATATGAATCATTTGCGTTAAAGGAATTGAATGTGTTGTTCATCTTCTACATTGTTCATTCTGTACACATGACATCATTGTAGTCGTTCCATCAGGAGACAGACCCTCCTCTGACGTTCTCACTGAGGTTTCTTACCCTTTTCCCACATTGTTTGTGCCGATGTGAGGGTTTCGGGACAGAGGATGTCGTATGTGTACAGACGTTAAAGCCCTAATTTGTGATTTTTATTGTTGGACCTTGAAAGTCATTTACCTGAACGACAGCTCAAAGACGGACCCTCCACTGTCGTTGCACACTGCAAGAGTCGGGTCGTCTGTGAACTAAAGACACAAAACGTTCATTAGAATGAGGGATCCAACTCATGGAAAAATACAGCTTACAAGTGTGTGGGACGAGCAAGTGTACGGAGGGAGTGTTGACAGCATACAGCCATGCGCTCCTCAACGGGGGGCTGAATGGAAGATGGTGATAAGTGTGTGTGTGTGTGTGTGCGTGTGTGTACCTTCACGTGCAGTATAGCCGTCCCCGGCGGGTGTGCATCAGTGATGGTTCTCAGGAGCTTCCCACTGGCTAAATCCCACATTGTGATCTAATCATTCAGTCAGACAGACACACAAAAGGCAGATTGTTAAGAACTCAACAGAAGAAGAAGGTTATTCTGATATTTAATATAATGAAATTAGATTGGACAGGATTAGGCTTCATAACAAAGGCTGAAAGAAATACCATTGGTAAGTTTAATGATGAAATGGTTTTTCATTGAATGTACTATGTATTTCATTGGCATTGATCATTTTCATACTTAGTTTGTGATAATTGGCTTAAGCTACATTAACATATATGTCATGCAGGAGCTTGTTTATCGGAAAAATGAAAATGCCGGATACATAAAAAGTGTTTGCCTCTAAAAAAAACTATTGTTAATGCATTTATCTTCTTCTCGTCTTTTCTACACATGTTTATTATTACAGTTCATGGAGATGCAGATGTTCCACAGTTCTACAACGCCCAGGAAGCAGTTTGGGGGTTTGGTTCATCTACCAGTCCTCACTTCCTCTACTTCATTTAGCCAAGTTGGTTTTCAAGCATCCAGGAAATCATTTTGACAATTGCACCAGAAGAAAATGAGCCAAAGCAACCGAGACAAACTGTATAAAACAACATTTCAGCCTTTTAAACCACAAGTGATCACACGTTTTCCATTTTGTTTGCCTGTGAAATTATTTCACACCAAGTATTTTGATGTGCAAACCGTTGCTTCTCAATTAGCACATTTCTATAGTAGTTCATAGCAGAACCAGATCAGCTCTCTGAGCTCCGCCCGCCCACATCAGGTCCAGCCGCCTTTGAGCAAACAACACGATGTGCTGAACTGGAGCCCTCAGCAAGGAACCCCGATGAACCCTAATGGAATGTGATCACAGGCATGCGTACCTGCCCTTTGGCGAACCCGCAGAGGAGCCGCGAGCAATCGTGGTTGATGCTGAGGGCGGAGACGGCTCCAAACTCCGCCCCCGTTGCCTTGGTACCCAGACAGAGCCGCAGAGCCTGGTTGGTATCTTGGGAGGAAGAGGAAGTTGAAAGCGTTTGTCAGTCTTGGAAAAGGTGTGGATGGTGTATAAAACTAAAACAGAAAAACACATTAGCAACACATGAGGAGATGCAAGAAAAGAAAAAGAAGCTAGTTGCAAATCACCAGATGAAAAAGCATAAAGCATAAAGCATGCACGGATGTGGCTTGGCCAAACTAAAATGCCGCGTTGCATCCAGAACGAACCACATTAAGCATCACAGGGCCATCTGACAAGGGGTCCATACCTTTTCCTGTGCAGGCATCATGTCAGCAATATAAAGAGACATGGGTCAGCCCTGCTCCCCCAACACACCAACAGCACATTGAGAGACACGCCGCGTTGCATCTTTCACCATTTCCCATAGAGGTTGTGACATTCCTATAATATAATAATAATATTCTGCTTTTAGCGAGCAGATTTTGGTTGATCGTACCAGACCTCCTCACACTATAGACCATGCTGAGTGAGAGAACCGTTCATAACCATAGACCGTGTAATGCACGGCGTGCAAACATGACAGTATTCAGAGGACGTTGTCACTAACTGAAGCATTTCTCTCTCACGCGCCGTGTGTCTCTGTCCCAACAATGGCCCGACCATATGGCAGCGCACAGGGGGTGTTGATTGACGCCTGTCGTTTTTTCAGAAATGGGTTGTTGTTCTCAAAAAAAACCTGACAGGTGCATCAGGGTTTGATATGTTGGGAAAGATTAGCATGCTAAGAGAGAAGGAGATGGAGACAATAATGGGCTGTAACGGTGTGAATTGGACAAAGCTCAAGTGGTGCAAAATGAAATTAACATGGAGTGAAAGATTAAAGCGTAGTTATTGCTCAGATCATTTGAAGTTTGGGTCCAGGGTGAGATTTGCTCGGTTATTTGAGAGCTGGACTTGTTTTTGTGAAGCGCTGAAGTGGCATAAAACCAAATCAATCCCACGTTGCAAGTGCTGCACACTTTAAATGCAGCAGATGTGGCTGATGTGTGAGGGGACACCTGGAAGTCGCTTGATGTTGTCGTGATTTTATTCCGTGCACAGACTGCATGTGTGTCTGTCATGGGAGAAACTCCTCCCTTGCTACAGCAAACCTCCCTCAACAACTTCCCGCTTACATTTGACACTTGACATTTGTTTGTTTGACACAAACATCATGGAGACCAGCTCCCTACACTCGCTCTGCACCATTAATACACCCAACCAGTATGGAATGGAACGCGATGAATCCGCCAACTAAAACGCCTCCACGCTGAAAGAGAAACAAGCTAATAAGGGTTTGACTATGAAACCGGCTCCTTTAACATTACATTGTGGATCATTTCCACTCGTACGGTAGGATTTTGTGATATTGGGCATCAGATCTTCACGTGATGAAACAACAAGCGTGTATTATGAAACTGCTGCAGTCACACAGCGAGCGCTGACGCATTCTAATGATTACTGCAAACAATACTCAGATTACTGATACGCCTGCTGATAGAAACACTTGGTCTTTTATTGGGGGGGGGGGGGGGCATAAATCCTTCAATCAAAAGGGATCAAATCACAAGCTCCTCCACAAGGAACCATATTCTGTCCGTGCTCGTCTTGGCTCTCGCTTTGAGGCGATATCTCGCCGCCTCGTTCCATCAGCGTATCGTTCCTGCTCAGACTCGGGGCGTCAGCAGTCCCTGCCCTCCTGGGGGACGCCATGGACAAACAGTGGACACCTTTTGTGGAAAGGTTCAAACAAAAGGCTGAGCGTTGACGTGAACGCGAGGCCACTCCCGGTGATAAGGTGTGGGCCAGTATCTGCCCCCCCCCCCCCACCTGGCCAGGAGATAAGGAGGGAGTCACCTGGTGCCTGAAGGTCAATAAAAGGTGGTGTAACGCATTGACCACCACATCCTGCGTCTGGTTTCTTCGAAGCGGGTGGATACGTACCAGGTACGTCTGAATGGGACGCGGTGTCGCGTTGTCGTAATTTGCTATTCAGAAAAAATGAAATAAGACTATTGGTAAGTGTGTTCATTTATTTACTTTACTGGATCACATCAGCTGCGGCTTTGTGTCCAGATTACTAATAGTCAAACCTAAAAACTTAATAGTATCAATAAATTGTTCTAATTAGCATATAGTAAAGTATGCCAAATAAGTACACGTTGATCAGGTTGATTATTGATTGTTATGGAATTAACAAGTTGAAGTTTATCCAGATACATTTATTATGAGCAGATGTAAAGTGATGTCTGAACCCTTAGTGACATAAACCTTAGACCAGCCGTGTTGGTCGCGTTAGTTATTAGTTATTAGTCTACTCGCACTGTGGCTGCAGCGCGACCGGCGAGCTCATGAAGTCGGGGGTTCTTGTCTTAATGTGACTCCTCGTTAATCTTCAGAGAAAACAGCTGTTTTCCATTTATTTGTGGCGGCCCGCCCAAATAGAATCATTCGTTCAGTTTATTGGTTTGTTTATTTCACCCGCTATAATTCTACCTATCGGCAACTTGCTTTGCCGTCTTGTGCTTGGCACCAGCCAGGACCGGTTAAAAAACACAGCCTCGATTACGCTGTACAGGGGGATGGTGTGTGTAGACACAACCTCCTTACAACATGGGAACTATGTGTATGATACCGTTACTTCTCCTTCAAGCCACGGGGGGATGTTAAGAGCTTTAGCGGTGGAGACCACAATGAGTGTCACCCAGCTATGAAGCTATGAAATGTGTCTCCAGGTCCCAGCCACCGCGCTCCGTCACAATGCCTCATCGCCTCTGCTCCGTGGAGATCAACAACAACTCCAGCTGCTACACCCTCTCCAACCCGAGGTCACGCACCGCTTCTCCACACACCGAGTACTCACACTGCACACCTCACTTCCTGCTCGCTGCCGCACTTTGCTTTTAAACTAACCCACGGCATTATGTTTTATTTTATTCCTCGTGCTCTGTTGTCGTCCAGTCTGCCGCTACGCACCAACCGAATTCAAATTCCTCGTATGTCTGACATATTAAGGTGATAAATGTAAACAGGACCAAACACTACACACACACTGTAACGCACAGCAGCAGCGACAATAGATGCCGGGGTGGTAAAAAAGTATATTTTGCTCTTTTGTGGCCTGCACATCTTTTTACGCTCTTTTTCATTAAAACGGTGGCCTGCGAAGTGAACAGAGGGCCGCGTTTGCGTGTCTGCTTTGCCTTTTTCAACGTGGCGTCCCGTGTTCAGGGTGTTCACTGAGAGCGGCTGCTGCGAAGTCCCCCTGCCGCCCGTGGTGGCGCCCTACTCCAACGCCAGCGCCTTGTTCAACAAGACCAGCGGCAGCGCCACCGGGGCCGTCGGCGTCTTCACCTACGACCTCTTCAACGCCGAGCTGTACGACTACAGCCACTCCGTGGCGGTCATGTTCTCCGTGCCCTACGACCGGAACCTCTACTCCAACTGGCTCGCCGTGGGCATCTTTGACAGGGGGAGCAGCTGCGATTACGACCTGTATGACCTCATGTACAATGGGAGTGAAACCTGTTTTGCGCGAGCCAAGGCCGACGGCTCCAGCGTCTCCTACGAGGGGGACTACGCCGTGGTCAGCGCCTCCATGTCCGACAGCGGCGAAGCCGTCCTCAGGGTGGACATCAGTGACACTGGCATGTATTAATCCTCCTGTAGCTGCCACGTCGCAGGATGACGGGAATTACTGCTCAATGGCGCCCTGTCCATCCCGGGAGGGGGATCCCTCCTCTGCCTTCTTTCTCCCTGCTAAAGGGGGGAGTTTCTCCTGCGCCGATGTGAAGCTTTTGGTACGGAGGATGTTGCACTGTAAAGCAACTTTGAGGCCAATTTGTAATGTGTGATTTGGGGGCTATGCAAAATAAAATGAATTGGTCACCAGCTGCAGAGGTGCTTCTTAAAATGTGATTTGACTTTTTTGATTGCGACTTTGGGAAACCAACATACATTGAATTGAATGACGCTGCATTGTTACATATGACTTAGTTGAGTTAAACTTCATTTTGTGCGTGATTAAAATATCATGTGTCGGATGTTATTATTACACTTACAGACATTTGAGATTCTATATGTGGAAGTGTTATAAATACAACGCTTTCAGCCAAGCGCGCGCGTGCGTCGGAAAAACGTTAGCATACAAGTCTAACACAAACACAATCCCCATCTGCCTCTCGTTTTCTTCATTAAAGGAGCATCTGAGATTCTTGTAGAAAATGAGGTAACACAAGGTGAGCGACTGATATACAAATGGTCACTTTGTAGGGGAAGAGTTCCTTTCAAATGAAGCTAAAGCGCTTTGAAACGCGATTAGTGAGTTAACCTCCGTTACTCGGCCCACACAATCCTTAACACGACATTAACCTCTTACGGAAAGGGGAGGGGCTTATAGCAGGAAGCAGAGGACGGACTGTCTGTCTCTTAACCCGAAGCCTTTCGCCGGCGATGGAAAGTGACACAGAGGATTCTAATTACCGTGACTCCTTCAACTATTTGCACAATCGGATTGTAAAAGCTGAGAAACGCCGCTTTCTAGATATTACGGTAATCAATAAATCAGAGGCGGGACTGAGAGTCTGTGATGAGGGGGGGAAGTGAGCGCAGCAGAAAGTCACAAAGAGATGACCATGTTTTACGAGTGTCTTAAAAGCGTCCTACTAGTGTGGTGGGGGGGAGGGGGGGAGCTGTCCACAGATTTGACGTTTTACTCGGAACAGCCTCATGGAAGACATAAACGTTCTGACCAAACAGGACATTCAGCACACAGAACTGTCAGCAGTGATGAGTGACACATCTGAAAGGGCTCACAAGGCCCCGACAACCGTGTCCTCCCCAAAGACAGGTGAGGCCAGCGGGGACCGTCACTAGACGGTGTCCTGAAGAGGGCGCTGGTGAGCAGTGGGAGGCTCAGCAAGAAGGAAAGGGAGGAACAACGTGTTCTATACCGTCAGTTGTTTGGTTGTGAGACGTGTGCGTAGGACCTCAAACACGAGTCGACTACAGGTTTACAAGTTTGGACTCACCGAAGACCAGAGCCAGACCGTGAGATGTCCCCACTGCAATCACACCGGCCACCGTCTGAACAAAAACAATGCACAGCTTAGCGACCATCACAGGACGCCAGGGACACGCGTCCAGCGTCTCCTGCACATCAGAAGACGCAGGGTAGCATCGTCTAGAAAACGGGCCTACAGATAGAAGCGATCGCTGCACCGCGAATCCACCTTCGACGTGGTGGAGATCAGAAGCGTGTTACCAAAATGACTACGACTACTAATCAAAAAATACTCACTATAGCCGTTGGCAGTCCAGCGTCCACTTTGTCCTGAGGGAAATGTAGAATTGTTTTTGTCATGCCTGAATACACGAATGCATTTATGTCCTAATTGTTGTTCTTCTTACAGCAGCGGACACGATCTGTGCAGAGATGCCCTTCAGCAGGCCGTGTCGGAGAACAGACCCGTGAGCGGCGGCATTCAGATCCACGGTCCTCCTCCTCCTTCACACGGGAACACACAACAAAGAGGGGCCGCGTTATTGACCTGTTGTAGTACATCTCCATTTTGAATACATATTGTATTTGCAACGAATGAAATATCATCTGTGTAGACTTTTTTATATAAATGCCAAAGGGGGGAGCATTGTGCGCGCGTGTGCATTCACGCCTTTTGAGGTGCGCGGGGTCTCCGCTGTCAGAGCTGGCCAGAGAGGAGGTGTCACAGGAGTGAGCATCCATGTTGTCGGTGTTTAGCAGGCAGGTATCCTCCAACACAAAAGGCTCCTCCTCATCCTCCAGCTGCAGACAGCGCACAAGTGAGACAGAAGGAAAGGACAATCCATCAAACGCAGCTCGGTCACAAGGTTCTCTCCTTCATGATGGATTTTCTTCTCAATATCACAAACAACTTCAATCTATTTTACTGGAGGATCAAACTCTATCCGGGCAGATCTAAACCATTTCAACTGCAAAACGGGGCTAAGCAGTTGTCCCATGCTAATTTTGAGTCTATAGAACCAGTTCTATAGAGCCTCCTTCGTGCGTTACAGCACTACCTTTAAAAGGAGGGAGAGTGGTGAGGATGACTTGCTATACTGTGAAATGTACATTACACTGCATTTGTCGACAGCAGGAAGTGATTAGCTTCTGACCATAATATGATTGATATAATATTAGTCTAAAATATACCAGTTTAAAATCCACCCCTGGTTCTTTGGAGAAGCTTTGTTGTTGAAGTTGTTTTGTTGACCGTGTGCGAGTGCAGTAGTGATGGAGAACTTACCTCGTTAAGGATGCTCTCCAGAGTGGGAGGTGTGTCTACTTGGGGAATGTCAAACTCCTTATCATCGATCTGAGAACAGCAATAGAAAGCATTCTTTGTCTCTTTATGCGTTCTTCAGGTTTATGAAAAACATTCCCACGGGATAGTCCCAACAGACCGTCTGCAGAGGACTGGGTGACTATGTTATGTAAGGATGTACTGTAAGTATAAAGATCAGCTTTGACAGATTAGAAAAACACTGCATTCTGGCATGTAATGCAAAAGAAACAAAGTGGACGAGTCAATATGGATGAACCCAATCTACTGCACGTTTCACCTGAGCAACCTCAGCCGCTCTGTGAACAGGTAAGCGTCTTGGCAAAGGACCTCCAGAGCCATTGCACAGTGGTCCTGTTCATCATCATGCGGATCTTGTCCCAGATCAAGTTGTGTCGTGAATCACATCCCATTTACTACGAACAACATCCTCGATTTAACCGTTTTATTACTCCGTTCGTCGGGCACAACGCACAGTAACGGAGCTTGAACGCCCCACTGAAGGAGCGTTAGCTGCGCTTCAAACAGTGGCAAAAGAATCGGGTGTTCCATGACCACGTGATCCTGGACTACGATCACGTGATCAATCGAGGAAGTTGTAATAGCTTGAGTCCATTCCTTACGTCTTGATATGTCACTAAAGTAGAACCCAACATCAAGCTTAGCACAGATAAATAACGTGACCCGGAGAAAAGAACCCCGCGCGCCATCTCGGTTTGTCGACACATTGCTGCTGGGAGTTCATGTCGCTGTCGTCTGCGCCATGACACCCGGACATGTACGAGTCTCTCACCGCGTCCATCTCCGTCAGGTTGAGCTGCGAGGAGGCGGAGAGGAGGCTGCGGGCGTCCGGAGACTCCGACATCGCCGTGTTTACATGCACAGCGGGGCTGACCTGCGTTTCTCTGCGTCCGCTCCTCCTCTTCCCCTCCTCCTCCTCTTCTTCTTCTGCTGCTGCTGCTGCTGCTTCTTCTTCTTCTATGGCTTTATGGCGTAAATCAACCAGCGTCCATGCGCATTACCGCCACGCGCGCTCTGGAGGAAGGATCGCACAACACACAAATCACACACCACACACCGGGAGAACAAACACACACAACACACCGGGAAAACAAACACACACAACACACCGGGAGACCACACACACACAACACACCGGGAGACCACACACACACAACACACCGGGAGACCACACACACACACAACACACCGGGAGAACACAAACACACAACACACCGGGAGAACAAACACACACAACACACCGGGAAAACAAACACACACATCACACCGGGAGAACAAACACACACATCACACCGGGAGAACACAAACACACAACACACCGGGAGAACAAACACACAACACACCGGGAGAACAAACACACACATCACCCCGGGAGAACACAAACACACAACACACCGGGAGAACACAAACACACAACACACCGGCAGAACAGACACACACAACACACCGGGAGAACAAACACACACAACACACCGGGAAAACAAACACACACATCACACCGGGAGAACACAAACACAACACACCGGGAGAACAAACACACAACACACCGGGAGAACAAACACACACATCACCCCGGGAGAACACAAACACACAACACACCGGGAGAACAAACACACACATCACCCCGGGAGAACACAAACACACAACACACCGGGAGAACAAAAACACAACACACCGGGAGAACAAACACACACAACACACCGGGAGAACAAAAACACAACACACCGGGAGAACAAACACACACATCACACCGGGAGAACAAACACACAACACACCGGGAGAAAATACAGACACACATCACACCGGGAGAACAGACACACCTCTGGATTGTCTCCAGATGTTGGAACAGAATCCATAGCCTTCTTCTCCAAACCGCTTTGACTTGACGTTCTCCATTGATTGCCTTTGAACGTGTTACTCAACCTACAGTGTTTAATCATGATTCCACCGTACGTGCTGAGAATAACCTTGTGTTTGTCCTCCTGTAATGCTGCATGTTCTTCTCTTGGGGGTCTGCAGATAAATGACCCGATGACCCTTCTAGCAGCGAGCCCTGTATTCCCTGTGGTGTGATAATTGGATCAGTATACGGGTAACAGGGGAGGCAAACGGTGGCCACTCAAGTATTTTATTGAACCTCCTTGGTGATTCTTTCAGAATACAGTTTCTAAATAACACTAACAAACTGCCACAACATTTATCAGACAGCTACAACTGTGTTGTAACAAATGACTGTAAGTATCTGGTAGATATCTAAATAATATAAATATCTGGCTGTAAGATACCATTAAATGTTCATCTCTGGCTTGTAAATTAGTAGACAATTCTGTCGTTTCACCACAACAGCAGGCTACTGTAATTTAACAACATATTGCAGTATTTCATAAGTCACAATACATCACTACAATCAATGCACCCTACTGTCTATTGCAAGGTAGTGTGCCTGTGATGACAATAGAATGTGTTTTTTAATTGAGTGGCAATAGAATATTTATTGCTGAGTCATTTTTGAATGAGAAGACGTGAGCGACTCTTCCTGACGGTGACTTTGGACCCCAAAGCTTCCGTTCATCCTTCTGAGCATATGTGGAGGTCAAGGAGTAAAGTTTCATTCATCACCAGAAGTTCTACATTCGTTCTGTACACGAGACATCAATCGCAGTCCGTCCACCCCAGGAGACGGATCCTCCTCCTTTCTTCCCCATCGTGGGGAGTTTTTCCTGTGCTGATGAGAGGGTTTCGGGGCAGATGATGTCGCATGTGTACAGACTGTAAAGCCCTCTGAGGCTAATTTGTGATTTGTGATTTTGGATTGAATTAAGACTCCGGTATTAGTTTGTGTCCTTGCTTATAAAACTGTTAACATCTGAGATCATGTTTCATTACATTATGTTTTTAATATGGGCAGAGCACACTCTGTAATGTTGAAAGCTACAGCTCAACAAGAAAGGTTAGCTAGCGATAAGATAAGATAATCACCAATTACAATGGCAATATATTACGTCAGTAACGTCACTTGTCTTTACTTGTTCACAACGTCCTTCCTCGACTTACTCCTGTGTTTGTTTTAGGGTCACTTGTTGTCATGAGAGATGAGGGTACCAGCTAGACGCTGCATCAAGGGTTCTCTCTTTACTGCTTTCACTCATGATGACTTTATACAGTTAAATGAACTATTTCTGTATATAAGACTTTTTTAGTGTTTTTTTTATACGGTTTTCATTCAGTAAAAGTTTGGTTAAGGATTTTAAATATTGTACTTACACACATCACAGTACATTGTGAGTTCTGTGGTGTAATACAAATGTGCACTTGTCTTAAACTAAACTTAATCTTTAATCTATATATATATATATATATATATATATACATTTATATATACACCTGTCACTTGTCTCTTTCACAAACACTCACAACAGAGTGTGTAGCGTATCGCTTTTTTATTTTTAACTTTAATTCCTTGATTTTTTAACAACACACAGCCTTATATTATTTTATTCCTCTTGCAGTATGTTGTCCATTGTCTTACTGGCTGCTGTTATGCACCAACCGCCAAGTCAAATTCCTTGTTCCTTGCTCCAAATTCCTTCCATGTCTGACATATTTAGATGATAAATGATTCCTGATATGTATTATCATTTATTTATATTATTTGTGGATAATTGAATTAAGGCTATTAAAGGTTGTTTTATCCATTGTAAATTAACTAACATTCTGGCATTTACCTTAAAATCACCAAAAAAACAGTTTTCCTACTTTCATATACTATAATCAGAGTACACAATTGCACAAATAAATTATAGTAGCAGCACTGTAAAAAAACAGTAAATTACTGGCGAATATTTAGTTGTCAGTACTTTATAAGAATTATTTTAATAATCATTTTGAATGCCAGTTTTGATTACTAAAGGAATTAATGTTGCACAACAGCAAGTCCCTCTCTCTGACCGCGTGGTTCACATGCACACAGTTCCAGCAGTCCAGTATTCTCACAACATTGAATAGAAATTGTTATGCATTTATTCTCAAAATACGATGTTTTATTCCAATAACATCATGACCTATTTTGTCAGAGATTAACATAAAATTACAAATGTATTCTGAGGTAAAATAAAAGTATTCCAACAGCGGAATTCAAAATTGCTCTTCCAATGTAATCCACCAGTTTATTAATGAATCCTTGCTTTCAGTGCTCGAGGGGAAGATCATTCAGTTTCACCCGTCAAAACGTTAAGTGACTGTGCCCCTAAAATGAACAAAACACTCCTGTGCACTAAGCATTTCAAACCAGGCTCCGTTGACATTCACTTAACATTAATGCAATTATTAGGATTTTGTTAAATAAATTAAATATGTATTAATGTTCATCAATTAACAAAGGTTATTCATTGTAATCAGCAGTGCTGTTATTATTCATAAAGATGATTTTGGTATTTATGACGCAGTAAAGAATCCTGACAACATTGGTGTTTGATGAGTTTTGGGTCAATTTTGTAGTAGTGCAACTTTATGGCGAGCAGTTTATCTCAGTTGATGCGAATAATTGTCAAAACCATGTGAATCAGATGCAATGGTGAAAATCTAAAATTGTCTCGGCAAACACGGATAATACTAAAGTAAAACTCACTAGATGCGAACGCTTTATTATTTACGCGTCTTTGAGCCGTAACGCTGCGGGTTCCAGTTAGTTAGTCTGCTAGAATAGGAGAAGGAACGAAGAAAGGACGGAGGAAGGGAAGGAAACGAGGAGGCGCCAAGACAGTGTTCGGTCGCGGCCCGCTCTATTCCTCCGGCTCCGTTCACCTCCATTCACACAGTAAACAGAAGCATGGAGGCTGCGACTCTCGGGCTGTGATACCGAACAGCGGGGGGTAAAGACACCGCCGCGTGCGCGCTCCCGTCGCGGAAACCCACAGGAAGCCCGCGCGTCGCTAGCGAACGCCTCGCCGGGTCGGATCCAGACGTTTTTTCCTCCCCCCCCCCCCGTGGAAGCGAGGATCGCAGGCGGGCGGCAGAGCGGGTTCAGCCCGCCGCGCCGAGCATGAAGCGGGCGGCCGCGGTGGCCAGGCACAATGGCCTCGTCTCCCCGCTGGGGAACAACAACTCCGGGGCTTCGAGCATCGTCTCGCCGCCGAGAACCGCGAGCCTCTCCGCCGCCGCCGACGCGGGACCCGGCGGCGGGACGGACGGCCTGCTGGACTTCTCCAGAGGCCCCGCCGTCAAAACCGAGCTGGCGTGCAGATGGGTCGACCGAAGTTCTCCGAGGCAGATGCTCGGGCGGACGGCGGCGTCCGTCTGCGAGCAAACTTTCGGCTCCATGCACGAGCTGGTGGACCACGTCACCACCGAGCACGTCGCCGCCGGGTTCGAGTGCCTCAGTCACGTCTGCATGTGGGACGAGTGCCTGCGCGGCGGGAAGGCGTTCAAAGCCAAATACAAACTCATCAACCACATCCGCGTGCACACCGGGGAGAAGCCCTTCTCCTGCGCCTTTCCCAACTGCGGCAAGATGTTCGCACGCTCCGAGAACCTGAAGATCCACACGCGCACGCACACCGGTAGGGGCTCGTGCGGGTAGGACGTAGCGGGGACGCGGTCCCCATAGCCCCCCTCCTCTCCCCCGAGGGGACGCGGGGAAGGATCCCAGCCCGCTGGCTGTCCCCCCTCCATGTTTACTGGGCTCGGCGCAGTACCCGAGTCCATCCGGCCTCCATTGCTCCCTTGTTTCCTAGAGGAATCATGGGTCGGGGCTGCGGCTTAGGAGTCACACAAGGTGACATGCAGCGGGACAAAGCAGCTGGGTTGTGTGAGAGACAAAGGGACAAGTGCCCGATCACATTGATTTGGTGTGCACAGTCCAGTCTGAATAAAAACGTAGTTGTATCGCTTCAACTACCCGAATGAGACAATAACCAGAGCGTCTCTTTGAGTGAAACCAGCCCCCCTTGTTTTAAAGTGTCAATCAACTCAGCCAGAGAGGCCGTGCTGGATGTGACACCCTTTGTCAATTGTTTATACGCTGTAACTAATGGATTGATTCATGGTTATGAAATTGTTTACTAATGTTTTATAGATCAAGTAAAAGTCAACAATTAAGTCCCAGTTGCCGGGTTGCAAATAGTACCTTGTTTTTTTTTTAGCATTGTTAGGACCAGCAAACTACGGCCTCCATGAAATGTAATCAATGGCACAAAAATGCCGCATTAGAAGCGTTATGGATGAGGATCCATTGCAGAACGGTATAATTAAACAGTGAGACGGACTCAGACTGCCAATGAAGTGCACCGTCCCGTCAGTACGTACCCATTCGGATGCCTGTAGGGTTGGAAGTAATGCAGCGTTTAAAGTAGATACTAAATTCTCTTGATTCTCTTTTTGCGCTGTGTGTCTTGCAGGTGAGAAGCCCTTCCAGTGTGAGTTCTGCGAGCGACGCTTCGCCAACAGCAGCGACCGCAAGAAGCACTCGCAGGTCCACACGGCCTCCAAGCCCTACGACTGCAAGGCCCTGGGCTGCACCAAGTCCTACACCCACCCCAGCTCCCTGCGCAAACACATGAAGGTCCACGTCAAGTCGTCGCCGCCCGCCGACCCCCAGGACGCGTACGACCCCCATCAGCTGCAGCAACCTCACCCGGCGCTCCTGGAGCCGCTCGACCTCAAGATCCACCGCCTCTCCCCGTCGCTCGTCAATGGCAACACTGCGTTTCCTCTCCTGTCCAATCGCGCGCTGGACATCGGCCCGGCCGGCGGCGCCGACCACAAGCTGCTCCTGCGGAGCTCGTCCCCCATGGCGGTGCCCCTGGATCTCTCTCTGTCGGGCCTGAAGAGCCAGCTGGCCCAGAAGCAGCAGAGCGGGAGGACCCGGCGGAGGAGCCAGCGCTCCGTCAACCCCGCCTTACCTCAGTTGTCTAACATTAAAGAGTGGTACGTGTGCACCAGGAGCACGGCGCCACACATTCCTCTGCTTCACCCGGACCACATCAAGTCCGAACCTAGTGATGACGACGAGTACGTCACGTAGAGTGGAGCGCTGGCGAGGTTTGGACTTGAAGAACATACGTTGACATGGATGTGGAGTCACAGGACATTTCCAGAACCAGCGACGTTGTGGTTCAACACCGGGGGGGGGCGGGAGGGGGGGGGCGCCCCCGCTGGGATGAGGAGGAGGCCGCCAGTCGGCCCCTAGCGGACTCGTCAGTTACCGTGGCCAGAAAGGACCAGAGGAATTCCATCTTAACAGCGTCACAAAAAAAGTTGTGTGAAGGGGGGGGTGTAACATGACGACCTCTACGGAGACACATTACTGAGCAGTTTATCTACGTGAAGCCATTTCAATTGACCCGGGTGGAAAGCGGTTAATGCTGAGTCACGAGGCGCTCGTGGGCCGGTCAGCGTGTTTTTAACCAACTAGTTAGTGCAACCTCCGATACAAACGGCAGCCAAATGCCTCTGCAAAAGACGGGGTTCCAGATGTTGTTGGCCGATCCGATGAGCACTTTGTTTGAAGCAAACCGAGGCTTGTTTCTCTCCTCCCAGTCCGATGGCAGTCTGAAGAACCTCCTTTCTTCTGATCATCAAGTGTCTCCTTATCCACTTCATCCCTATGGACCTTCTCCACTTCATCCCTATGGACCTCTCTAAGTGGGTTAATCACTTGTATCTGTTTACACTCCATGTGCAATTTAGTGAAGACCCTATACGTCATCCATGTATTTCTTTAACATTAAACGGTTTTAAACGATGCACAGGGCATCCAGTATTTTCCCTTTGATCAAATGGTCCCGCCAAGCAGAACGTGAAGGATTGAGTCACAGCGTCGCTGCTTGAAGCCACTGCATGGGGAACAATAGAAAGGGTGTATGAGCGACTCCTACTAACGTACATAGTGGATCCACGCGTAGCTGCATTTGCACCTGGGAGGTGAAAACCTACCCGAAGTACAAAAGCTCGTCCAACTTAAAGCTGAAAGCAAAATGCGTCTGATAATAATAATAATAATAATACACGTTGCACAGGAAAAGCAGGAGTCTACTACACAGTAAGTACAGCTGGTCAAAGTGATGCGTCGCGTGGGAAATGATTTTAACGCTTTTTTTTTTTTCTCACCCAAGTAAGTCCTCCAGCTATCGATTATGTTCATTATTAAAGAAATGAACAGACAAAACTGTTCAATGAAACTGGAATTTGATTTTAAACTGTACAAATGATTTGAAAAAATTGTAAGTCGTTCAATTTGGTTCAGGGTCACTAATGAGACGCTGTTTTTAAGGGCGGAACACAACTTTGATGACAGAATTGAGTCATTAAAGTTTTGCTTCTACAGCAATAATCCAGATGTGAGTGTATTATTATCACGCACAGCTGGAAGGTCGGATCGTGCAGCCTTCAGGTCTGACTGAGTCTGGGAGGCAGAAGGGATGCTGCTCGGGATGAGCTGGTGTAGGTACAGACGGACGGACGGCCCTGGCACGCAACCACACACTAAAAGCAGAATAAAGTCCATCCGTTTGACCTGGAAGTGAGCTGTCATCGTGTTAGATGCTGCCTTCTAAATATTAAAGGTACATGTGGGGAAACTACGGTACTCATAAGCTTATGGGCCCAAGGGACTAATAGATGGAGACGTACCCAAATGGTGTTGCCTTCAAATCAGCCCTCTATCCAAAAGTGACTTATTGAAATCTGTCTTTCTCACAATAATTTCAACTCTGGATAGAGTTCTTGATTCTGATCTCTGAGTGATGAGCATGACACCAGATCTCCAGTCACTGAAGACTCAACGCAGCAGATGAAGACAAACTCCAGGGAGATGGACCTCTTCCTTCCCGTCTTTCTTCAGCAACACAAAGTCAAGTGAATAAGAAATTAAATTACAACCAACAAAACCTACCAAACGTTCATGCCAATGTAATGAAGTGTTTTTGTGTTTCAGTGAAAAGACAAAACCGTCATCCGTCACGATTGTTAACAAAGCTCTTGAGTCTAGGAGTTAAAAGCTCATTGTTTACCTCATACGCATTATCCCACCAGCATCTGCACGGGCAGTTCACTGATGAACCTGCTGCAGCCCGTGGGAGGAAGCTGGTTACGACCTCTGCTGACACAGGAAGAACACGCAATCTCGCCACAATCACACTCAACAAAGCCTCAGCACTCCTAACCGCCGCACCGCCGGCAGCGCGAGGAACCCTTAAACACTACCTGATGTTCTGCATATTGCTGCAGCAGGATAGTTGGACGCTCTCTAGTTCGCTGGACGCTTGCTTCCAACAACTAAATCCAAACTATGATTGAGTGTGTAGCTTAATGCTAAGATTAGGCAAGTTATTATTATTCATTATTTGAAAAGAAGGATGAATCGGATCAATAGGCTGGTTTCAGGTTGACTTCCAACATCCCCCATTTTCCACCAGGAGTCTTTGAATGAAAAGGTTACTGACGTGGAGCTGACGCCGATCCACAGGTGCCTTTGAGCAAGCAAATGCTTTTGTGTGACTTTTGGATATCTGTGGGATGCAGCGTGGTAACTACAATGCAGTGTGGCTTCACAACCTGAGGGAGGTTCATAAGGTGAGAGGATGTGCAAGGACACAAACAGGAACGTGTTGTGTCTGCATCGTTTTTTCTTTTGTTACTAGATATTTTCATTCTTTCAGGACATATAGAAGCAATCAGATTAAACAAAGGGGGTAAAACTACAGTAGTAACTCTGTGGAGACATTCTATAGTCTGTTATACTAAAAAAGTCTTGACTGGCTGATATTTACAATGTTTTTTTTAAGCTCATGTTGCCATTTCTCTCTTTCTTTTGAAAATCTTAATTATTCTGCTCACACCTTGTCACAGTAATGCACAGGCGTATCCTGTGATATTACTGTTCTGTACGATTGAAAAGGCCCCCAACGTGGCACAAAGTCACCTCCACAATACCACAACAATAAATAAATGCTGCTTTATTCCCGCTGGATGTTTAGTCACATGGTCAGCTGGGCTGGCCTCCAGCATGCATGCTCAAGTATGAGCAAGTAAAGCTAAGCGATGGATGGAGGGGGACTTTTCCACAGTTACAGGCGTTAATCTGGAATCAGGAAACATTTATTAGCCAAAATATGTCAAACATACAAGGAATTTGTCTTGGCGGTTAGTGCGCGACAGTAGACAGACAAGACAACAGTGCACAAGTAATAAAATAAAGTGGGATGAAATGATAATGCAATGGGTTAGTAGAATAAGGCTATGGGTTAGTATAAAACAAGGGAATAAAGTTAAAAAATGTAAATATTAAAAAGTTAAAAAGAAAAACATTAAGCATAAAGTGCACTAACAAACAAGTAACAGACAAGAGACAAAGTGACAAGGTTAAGGTACAAACCTTATAAAACCTTGAAAACAAAAGGAGAGGTCTTTTTGTTACATGTTGCTATGGCAGCGCATGTGCAGCTGCAGCGCAACATGGATTTCTCTACGTTTTTGTTTTTCACCACTAAGCCATTTGACAGAATCCGTTCATCAGCATCTGAAAAGGAAGCATGAGGATTGGATCAACCCACACGCGACCAACCGTTCAGAACCTGCAGAACCAAACTGCCCAGGAGAGGAGAACAAAGATGATCCAACCAGGAGCTGAGGCTACTTCACCATGCAGCATGCAGAGGAAAACGGATTAAACGAATAAATGATCAAATAAATGCAAATAAATGACCCATGAATGATTAAATGGATGAATATAGCGCGTATGATCCTTTGCCCACTAAACCGAACTTATTATAATACAAAGCAGTGGGTTACACACTTAACACAAAGACACGCTTGAGATTGTTATTGTGTCCTGTAAGTCTTCGATTTGTTTTATCACGTGTTTCTCTTCCAAGCTTTTCAATAAAGTTGTGAGACCAGCGTTTGAATGTGTTTGACGCCTCCCTCTCCCCACCACTCAGGGCCCTTCAGCCTACGTCATCACGTCAGCGCGCGCCGATGACCGTCACAGTTTGGCAACATGGCGGCGCACAGGCTGCCTCCATCCCTGAGCCGACTGCTGACATCTGTAAAGGTGAGCTGCTCACGGGGAGCCCGTCCAACACGCCGCTGCGGCGGTCTATTGACTAACTACCAGCACGCGGCCCATGTGACGTCACTGTCGGCCTCGTCCGCACGAGCACAAACGCACGCTTCCCCAGACGAGCTGGAGAGGAGTAACTTAAGTTAAGTTAGAGCCGCGTTGCTCGAGTTGTTCGTAAGCGCGTTGGCTGAAGCAGAACCTGAAGTGAGTAAGTGACGTCAGTAGAGGGGGGGGGGGGTCTTCTTTGACGTACTTCACCTCCGCGAGCGAGCGAGCGACCAGCTGTGACTTTGTCCTTATTGGACGTGCTGCGCTGCTCTCAGGTGGATGAAAACTAGCTGGACGTTGACGCATTCCTCTGCTTGTGAGTCTTGGTTTCGCCGAGTGACCGGGTCCGGTCTGCGGCTGGGAAGCCATTGTGTGACCGGGCCGGAGGTCTGAGGTCACAGGCCGCAGGCTCGTGGGGCTCCTGCTGGACACCGAATGAAAGCAGCTGCTTGAGTCCGAGATGCTTCAGCCTGGCTGAGTTGTTGCTCTGTGTGATGGACATCTCGCTGCATACCTCCTAGATGTTTCAGGGATCTGCTGATTCTTCATAATGGATAGAAATCAGTGGATCACTGTTACCGGACATCTGCAAATTAGGCAGAAACTTAGTTACCAACAAGCAAATCAGGAATGTTTACAGAACATTTATGATAATTAACACCACTTTCATGATTTTACAGTGAATGTGATCGCCAGGAGTAGAACGCTAGTGTTCAGGCCTTTTAAATGAACTACACCACAGTCACGTGACTACATTACTGTGATTTTGCCATAGCAATATGCAATATAAAACACGTCTTCAGGGGAATCTGTGGGCTCATGTTTCCTCTGCTTCCACATTGACTGCAACTATCTCAGAGGTTTTCTGTGTACAGTCTTTGTCTCAAACACAATCCGTGGTAGAGAAACGTTTTTGATTCGCTTCAAAAATTGAACACAGCGAGCGAATAAGACCTGAGCTCACGGTTCACAGGCGAGGTGAATGGAATGGTACACCGCTTCAACTTGAATTCTAACTCACGGTGGTTTTAAAACGATCAGTCCGTTGTTCGCCAGTTTCATAACAGAGGGTTCCTAACTGGTACTGATGTGAAGCTTATAGATTACATCACAAAGCAGGAGTCTGTAGTCATTAAATTGATAAGTGAGCTGCACGTGCACACTTGAATTAAACATATAACGGGATCAAAGGCTGCAGAATGATTAAGGATTTATCTTAATCTTAATTTGCTTTACAATTAACCAGGAAATAAACCTTTTTATAAACCATTTCCCATCCTGAATTTGCTGAAGATAAAGGTTGATGTTCTTGCAACGTATTTTACTTTGATATAGCAATTCAGAAATTGTAATCCTTAGAAATGGAATTTATTTAACTGTATAACCTTAACACACAGCACATACAGCAACCCTAAGGGCCTGGTAGCCTCATATGGCGTCTCTTTATGATTTGCAGTATGCGTCATTCCGTAGCAGATGCTGTGCTCTGCACTGTAGCGCTCAGTATTCCACCGTCTCCAATCCCAATGAAAAGGTAACGACACACACACACACACAGACACACACACAGAGACACAATGTAGGAATAGTTGTAAGGCAAGATGTGGGTCCATTTTTGTAATTATTGGTGTGATCT